TAAATTGCGTCACCATGAAATGAAGAAATATTCGCTGTTCATTCGGCCTTTATGAAAGGCGATGCCGGTATATAATTAACGACAAATAATCGTTACATTCTAGTCTAGACATAAACAGATAACACTGCATGAGCGTCTTCGTTGGCGCTGCAGTTTCTTCAAATATCCAAATGAACAGCTATTAATCGATTTTAGAAATATACCTACAACGAAATTTTCCAAAAGCAGTTAGGGCGACCCAACTGCATGATTGTCCGTCATTTTTTATAATAGTTTTAAAGATTCTTGAATCTTGAGAGGTTGAAAATAGGCCAAACACGAACACGGATTAGTGTTGTGGCCGGATTGTCGAAGATCATTGCTAGGTGACGGTCCAATATATATATACACACAAACTTTTCCCAAAAGGAAACATGAGACATGCAAACTATTATGGAACCTTATTTAGACTTTTCAAGATACATGTATGCATGGAGTCGTAACTGAGGAGACATAATTTTGCTCGTAGTGTATTACTCAGCCAAAAACAAGTATAAGTATGTTTTGGAAGATTATCTGTTTATCCTTTTGTTGTTGTATTAACATGAGCATGCAGGAAGTTAGTTATCCGTCAGAGACTTAACTGAGACTGAGTTCAGTATGCGTACATGTAATCCGACATGTATAGTTGATAGTTATGAATGCATGCATGGGAAACGACGCTGAACTTAAAACAAGCCTGTTCACCATTCCAAACGTATATACAATATATGCATGATATATAGCCTGTCTGGAAACAAATAAATTAAACACACTTTGGTTCGACGGTTATAGGGTCTGTACGGCCCTTTGCGGAACTGATATATTGGTAGACTTTATTGATCGATCATTCTCATCAACTCAGTTATACCTGATGTGTATCAGCATCACGACTTATAAATGCAGGGATTTATGCCCATTCACATGCAAATTTCCCGAGATCTTATAACTGGGCCTGTACTTAGACATCAATTTTCCTTTTTCCCAACAGGATGCCGCAGTTGACTGCAGTTTTGTTATCTTTCGCACGTTTAGAATACGTTTTAACCAGTGGTTTTAACTCACAAGGGTCAAGGCCAGGGGAACAGATTAATGTTTTAGATTAATCAATGATTCCTTTTACGCAACTTCTGTCACAGTGTCATAAAGTTTACTCGGTCTGTAGTTCACAGAGTGGAAAAGCAAATAAATCGATACAAAGAAAGTTTTCGTCAAAGCCTGGCAAGGTTTCAAAAATGACGACACGAAGGAAACTTTAATTTCCTCCGGCTTTTGAGTCGAGGCTTGCCCCGCTCAGTCCGACGCTAGTTATGATAATTGAATCTTCACAGTAACTATGCATGCAGCATAATCTGCCAATTTTTTCAGTTTTGTCATCACCTGTGCCAGATCAGATATGACACGTAAAAACGGGTGTTTCGATGCCAATAACTAATTCCTGCTTGACAATTTGGAATGCAGTGATTTTCAGCACGCCATGCACTATATACTGACTGCATGCATGTTAATATAGTACTGCATCGTTGGATACGAAAGCTGGATGTAAAATTCTTAACTGAAAAGCCATAAACCTAAACATTTTGAAATAAAAATTGTTAAAGAAAATCCTCAATTAAACATGCAATATTTAAGTTAAGCCAGGCCATATATACCAAACAACAGGCAATTTGCAATGGATAGCGCCGAGTACAGCTATAGTATACATGCAGTTTTCGAATTCGTATATACAAACCTCCCGTGCATATATCATGCAGAATCCTTAAAAACCTCATAGTATACACGGCTTTATAGCATTTTGGAGATATTTAGACCATCGGAACTTCTTAGACCGTATTATACTGAAAATAATGGTTCTGTAAATCTTGCCATCAATCACAATCATATTAATATATATATCGGGCTAATGGTATATATACATACGCATAAAATGCCAGTATAGAGCCTAGATTGATCGTCGTAAAAGGAATGGTCTGTCTGTCATGCAGGGAAAATTTTTAGCTTCATATAATAATCAAGGACAGGGCGTCTCCGCGATGAATTACGACATAGAGCGAAAAACAAAGTCAAGTACTCATAGCCATATAGAAAAAAATTCATTACGTAAATGAACACTTCAAACAATATTATGAGATTTGCACTAACCAAATCGGGCAGCCACAGAAATTTTTTTTTATTTAATAACAGAACATGTATGCGCATCGCAGACAAATTACACGACATTCATTACTCATGCATGGTTGAGAATATGAATAAGGAATCGAACTACTGTAGTCTGTGAATGGAAAAATACTCTTATACTATATATGATTTTCGATATAAATCGGGAAATCGAACACATGCATGCCAATATATGTTAAGAAAAACTTGTGTATTACAAATTACAATATAAATATATACGTCTCACTGAAGGCAAGTCACTCCTACCGGCGATTTCAAACAATCTGCGCCAAGTTCGCCAAGTGTGGGTCCGTTATCATTGCCCCCAACATGGCTTTCGCGTTTTGACCTTTCAATTTTGTCTGCGTCGCATTCCAGCAAACGTTATTGACAAAAGAATTGGCAAAGATAAGTTTGACAAACTTTTGTCGCACAATATTATATTTACAACTAGGACAAGCGCATGTCCAGAGACTCCAGACAAATCGAGCTATATTCTGGCTATTCAGTTCATGTCGATTCTTTTGCACATAGATATCTATGCCGCACCACGTAAATGTTATATTGTCGATAACGTCATAAGGTACACGCAATATAGTTAATTTAAACCTTGAGAAGTATATTTGTATATAATAAGAATTTTTTGTGACGCAACCGTTCAGTGTTGAATTAACTATATAGTACAGTAACTAACATATTCTATTACTGCATGCATCGAAAATGCGCGAGTTCTCCAGTAGCTATGTCTCACATCTGAAATACACCCTATTCACTGGACTTGAACATTACAGCATCTACAGAAAATGGTTTAGAATTTCGCTGTAGGGTAGTACAATTCCAGGAGACAATCGTTGGCATTTCGTCATTAGGTAGGCTGAAATCCAAGGACATGAAGACGATGGGCCTGGTAAACGTCAATTCAAGCAGTCACCTACGGAGTCTACTGACATGTTCGTCACCCGAGGCTTCCAAAAGCACTTTCTTTACGTCACTGTTCAATTAGAAAATCTATTTGTTCGTTTGCCCTCTGGTAATTTACCATTGGCTATGCGATTATGACACAATCATGGGCACATCAGCATTCTGCTTCGTTCCTTCGCATCTTTTTGATATTGTACCCGAATCTTAATAGCCATGGTAATGGCATGCATTGATGCTAGCAAATACAATGAAAATGGCTAATCAGCCGGCTAATCGCGCTATTAAAGCGACATATTTTCCACAACTGTACAAAACTGTACAAAATAAGTTGCGTGCAAAACTTTTAACCGTACCTACTGTTAGTTTTATAATCCGTTTTATTCAAGAAAGTTTCAAAATAGCAATACTCCCAATAGGTCTTGGCTATATCAGCAATCCTATCAAAAATCCTGTGGAAAGCATAGTCATAGCCTTAGCTTTTTGGGGCCATTTTCTGATTAATCAATATGATTTATGTTTCCATATTTGTTTCATACTGATGAACTTTATAGATATTGATAAAACAGGAGTATGAGATGTAAACAATGCCTCGCCCTCGGTTCGTATATACATCCATGGCCATGGGCATGAAGTGAATGTTTGAAGTTAAACTAAAAAATACGACCCCATTTCAAAGTTTTATCGCTGGAACTTCGCATGACTTGCTTTAGTTTTGCATAAGCGTATCAGCACAGCAGTACGGGCCACGGGGCGCAAATTTGAATTTGAATCAAACGACAGTTATTTCGCATCATGCACGCCGTACTTCATCACATTAGAAGCGATCTTTTAGACTTTAGTACATTTAATTTTCCGCAAACATTAAAACTTAAGGTTCGTTAACCTTAACCGTTAGAAACAGGCACATATCATGGAACTTGTATATTGTCTATTGAGAAAGAACGTTTTTTAATCCAGATGTTAAAAATAGTCGTGGTGTATATGGTGGTGCAAATACATAATATTGATTAAATATGATTTGATGTATTTGTGTCTGCGGTCACATTATCAATGCCATATTTTACAAGTGATGTTGTGACCATCAACTGAGTAAGGTACCGAGTTTTGTGTATCGTAAAGTCTTGCAATTTGCACACACACACTGCAAGTCTGCAACAACACCACCACCACCATCAATCAGAAAGATCGCATATTGAACCATAGAATAATGGTCTAAATTACAATGTGCTGATTTTTTATACTCAAAGACAAATAGCCCGCAAGTATTAAATATACCCAACGGTATGGATGGTTTATAACTAATGGATGAACATATGGATTGTGGTCCTTTTGTGGTCAAGTTAGACCATAACAGACCCTTTTACCAAGCAAGAAAAGATAAAAGTTACGGTTCAATCACATTAATGATTCGATATTGAATATTGTGCAATAAAAGTTTTATTATTGATTTGAAAGAGTACTTGTGTCTGTCAAACACTTAAAAAAGCAATGACCATATTTGAATACACTGGTTTGCTTTATTGTGATTCACGAATTCAAAAATATCCCAGATTTGGGTCAGGTAACAAGCCTCTACGGCAGTGGATGCCAAAAGCGAGCGAATAATATCAAAGCTAAACACTCTCAAATCCAAAACATACAGAAAAGTGGTTGTGCATAAGCGACGACTTTTTTGAATTTGTCAATGCGATATACTTGCATTTGTTTTGCACGGGCGGATATTGTTCTGAGGACTGAATTAAGCCACGTTTCTCAAACAAAGAAGCACGAAAACATCATTTGAATAATGACACCACCCGTTGTTATGTTTCGGTGTCTTATTGTTATTAGCCTGCTCGATTCTGATTGGTTCGAATTGACGTCACTGCTTAATGGCACAATGGTAATGAGTATTTACCCTGGGTTTTAAAAATTTTTTGGGGCTTTCACTGCAGCATATCGCCAGGCAAGCTCACGAACCAAGTTCCACAGAAGCAAGCAAGATAGGAACATTTGGTACGAAGTTAGCCCGCGTCAGAGTAATTGGACAAACAAAGACTAAAATACGGACAAAAAATGACGGTAAGCCTGAATACAATCCCTTTAAATACGAAGCGTTGACATTGTCACTGATCACGGTCTGAACCGAATTTAAACGAGAAATTCCAATATTTCTCCCTCTCCTGACCTCGGGTACTGAGTCTGATGTATGGATGATTATTGTATCCATGATTATCGAAAATATCAGCGAGGGGCTTATAACTGAATCCATTGGGAGATTTACGATTGAAAATCGTATATTCGTATCTTAAATACATCGCAGGATCTGTAGAGCATAACGTACTTTCCCCAGCAGATCGGAACATAACCAAAGCTTGCGAATATTAGCGGCAATTCTTGTCCTAAGTAACTATATTATAGTATGGATACCCCTCTTACAATATTTTACCCCCGGAGCATTGCAGAACGGTTTTTCTAAGAGCATTTGCGTCACATACCAAGTAGCTATAATATTACTGCGAAATTTTTCTAATGGTATCGAGCCATTTTGCACGAAATGTCAAGTCGCGTTTATCGGTTTTAGCCGCATTCGGAAAATTCGATTACAAAACCTGGCTCACTTTAACTGCGGGGAAAGCCGTGGATGTGTGTCGTGTTTTTTCCGAATGATCTAGCACTGTAGCACAACAATACAAGTTACAAGTAGCGCGACAAGTCTATTTCAAACCTCGTAATTTGAGTAATATAATATCCAGTTACGGCAAACAAGGTCAATGCCAACACAGGGAAGGGAGTCCTGCACTAGGTTTGGTAAACGGGGAAGCTCGTATTTAGCCGGTGAAGAGATTTTTAGCCGCTGCGCTAAGAAGGTAATTTTCTTGCCGCCGTTGTTGTAATTTTTGCTATTTAGAACTGGAATTCATAATTTGGGGAGTTTGGCCATCTGGTTGCGACCTGCTCCTATACACCAGACATACGTATTATTTTGTAACAATGTGGAACATATTCGCATTGTATGAACCTGTATAAATCCCAGGTCTGTCAAAGCTTTAGCCTGCTTTATCGTCCATCAATTTCGAAGCAAAATATATGCACGAATGATAAACCACAAGTAAACATCAGGGATTCTGTGCTCTGATTGGTCGGGCGGTTACAGAAATAGAACTTTAATTCGACCCGTATATTGTTTTCGTCCTTATCAATCAACGGAAGTGTAGACAATAGGTTTGGCTGTGCTGGAAATGTTTCGCTTACGGTGTCAGAAAATAAATTACTTTTATACTTACGTCCACAAAAAAGTCAGCAGTAATTTATCGCAAGTATCGCAAAGCCTCATGACAAATGTACCTCAACCCTTAATACTGGACGACCTATTTAGCGGGCCTATTGGGAACTTGAATCTCATTTTATAGATTTCCTGAAAAATAGAAACGCTGTAAAATATCGCGTACGAAGCATTTAAAGGAATTATGTCATTTCGCATCTAAACGATGGTCTATATTAGTTGGAAAAGCATGTCGCCTGGGAGCAGATATCAACTAGCGGACAAATGCAATCGTTATATTGGCTCCTTTGTCGCTAAAACAACGAAATTTGCCTACTTAGACTTTGTCATGTTAAACCAAAAGTATGATGAAATACTTGTCATGAAAATGCTTAGCTGTGAATTTTTGTATTTGGCCATTCAAAACCGGAACGAATTGAATAAATATATAGAACTAAATTACGCCATTTATAGGTTCTGCCTCGCAGGGTATTGTATTGAAATGGCACCAAACAGGCTGTGACATAATTCGATCGCATTTGGGGGCGACCACTTGTACACTTTTTTATCGGCAAGGAATCCCCATGAACTTAAATTCTCCTCGGTTCGACTGTGATCAGTAAAACTGAATACATTGGTACAGATGAATGTATAGTTGAACATGAAATTTGGAGCTGGAGACAATCTAAGTAAAAAAATTATATTAGAATGGAAGAGGAAACCATGAAATAAGTATTTGTGATTGAAACAAAAGGCACTGCATGATGTATCTTGTGATAATGAATACTAATTTCCTCTATTTTGCAATTTTTATTTTGCTCTTTTCTAAATTTTTACACCAAACTGAACAATGTGACTTTGATTTCTTGTAATTATATTTCTCACAAAAAAGTCGATTCGAGTTATGAGGTTTTGTCAGATGAAAAATAATATAGCTAAGGCTGTCTTTTAAAACAAACACGTTGTTGATTTGGGGCAGCTGTGTCTTTCATCAGCAAATCCAACTCAAAGTAATATAGACTTATTGGATGAAATATAACTGATAGAAAGCAAATTCGGTATTTCACGTCTGCAGTCCAACATGGGACTTGACACTGTGTGACTTTTGTATATCGTTCCCAGCCTAAACGCACGGATATATAGGGAAATACGTGCTCGTTTATGAGCGTGAAAACAGATCACGTCACTGGCGATAACAAATATCAGATCTTCATTTTTTATATCAACCTATCAGGATTAGAAAATTTTTGTCTAGCAATTTAATACAGTGGATATAGTCCAATACTGGACAACAAAGGCACGAAATATGATTAAAGGTCGCAGTAGAGAAGGAAATATGTCTCCTTACATTTGTCTCCTTGTGTTTCCTGTTTTGTATTTAAGTTGTTGTAATATTATTCCCGGTGTGGTTTGCCAACAGTGAAGTGGAAGGGGTCACCTACGCGTACACCCACGCACCACACCTGGATACATGGATGTGAATTCAGGTCTCTGCATATAGAAATATATAGAACCAATAGAACTTACCCATGCATATACCTTCTATTTCTGTTTCTGTTTAACAATCCGCATTAATGCTGTATATTATGTAACACACCCGCCCTGTTTCAAATGTGTTTGGGTTTCATCCATACTCGAATCCTAAATATTTCCAATTCTTGACAGCTTATTTTCTATTTAGGTTCTCTTTAATACATGCAACTAATCCTGAAATCACATTAAGTTAAAATGCCTGAGTTGAGAAATAATAGATAAAGACGTACACAGTTCGAAAGATAAATTGGAAGTTTATGATGCATGTTCTCATTGTTCTGAACGCCATTTTACCTCGTATTTTACCATGGATCAATATATTGAAAATCTTCAAACAAAGACGAGAATAGCTTTGGTCTAGCGCCGTGCATGCTGAACGAATTTCGTAATTGGGTGATTTTTCTATAATTATACAAAACTCGTGCATTAATATATATATTTCAGCAAGCAGTAAATTATATGCAATCAAGTTGGGAAACGATTTCGCCTCGGCTTAGCGACACACAAGTGTTTGTTTGGCAATTGATGCCAGTCCTCGAGAAGGTTCGGATCATGTTAATTCATACTTAGCAAAGTGCATTAGCCATTACGTTTATCTACTGAAATTAGTGAAATACCTACTAAAGAGCCGATCTGTTTGCAACGGTTGCCATCATATGCAAGCAGTTAGAATCTACCGCTGCAGCTGGCTCTAAAATGCACAAATACTTTGCATGAAATCTGATCCAACACTAATAAAATATCGTACGACAGATAATTTGACTTTGCCGATATTTATCACGTTGCGCTTTTAGGAAAAGAAGAAATAAAACTGCATGTCGATTGAATATACATACACTGATACAGGGTCAGAAAGCTTTCTTAAAGTTAAGAAACGTGTATAGAGTTGATACTCCTACCTCTATAAACATGCTCGAACTACTGCATGTATTTTGTTAATTTCAATTTTCAAGCTAAACTATGATAATGAAGTATTCATATTGCACACAAAGTAGGCTACAAGTAAATATTCATTCAAGATATACGACGTTCAGTCACGGTTTTGTGTCGATAATAAATGATGGGACATGCATGTGTTTGCTCAAAAAAGACAGGCAAGGAATCTATTGTGTTTTTGTTATGTGACAGTCGACACAGATAAAACCGGTGCTCGTTGTCAAACAAGATTATCTGTTTCCCTTTGAACTTTTTGGGTCAAAAGAAAAAATGATAATGAAGCATCTGTTCTAATCTTTTTGTTATGACAGCAGCGTGCGCGTTAGCCTCCTGCGGCGATAAGCGTATTCATATATTCACGAGGAAGATTAATTCCAAGTTTTCATGTTGATTCAATATGTGACGCAACCTCCATAAATCCATCTTTACACAATGAATTAACTGAATCAAACCCAAATCTGAAATTATGTTCGATAACATACTTCAGGACAGCTCCTTTGTTTGAAGTTTGAACAAACTGCTGCTTCAATGAATATTTTTCACTGATTGCATTTTTCTATAACATTAGTCTATCGGTCCAACTTTGAATGCACGATATGCAAGGAAGCGCGCGCGGCGCATGGCAAGAATGAGATCAGAAATGTGCAATACCCACGGCACGCCATTATCTCTACATCTGGTTTTCATATAATGAACATTGCGTTGATGTTTTCACTATTTAGTATTTTATTCGGCCAGTATGTGCAAGTTGATATCATTTCATGAATTCGAAGAATTTTAGAGAAAATATTCTTAGCGCGCCTAGCAGCGTACATAAATAATAATATATCGTTGGATCTTTCGCTCAAGATTGGATAGAACATATTTCCTATAGTAAAGACTGTAAAGTCGGGTCGAGTGACATTGTGGTAATCCCTGCCCTGCGTGCATGCCCTAACAATATGCATGTGTTGTCTTTCTATATGTTGCAGTATTTTATCCAATATTTTATATTGAACACTTTATCCCTTTTGAAAGTTTATATATAAGAAATTTCTTTTCGCAATTTAGTTTTGCGTGAATTGCGAGCTCCTCGAGGGGCATAACGTCCCCATAAGTTTGAAACTTGGACATCTATTTCCAATCTCGTCAGTGAATCTCGCCATTTATATATAACCGTAAACTGTTTTTATACATATATTTGCGTATTTTGATTTTGTTAGAATATATATACAACCTTCATCGTTGGTCAACTTGAATGCCCTATATTGACGCTGCTATTATTAAAAACCTATTCTACATGATAATGCCTGCATGTAGTGTAGTGTCTCTTTATTCCAGTACTTTTGTTTTGCATATTTAATCAAAAGCGAAAAAATCCTTTGTGTGCATGACATAGCCACAAATTGAAAATCCAATATCCTCATGCACGAGCCTTGATCGTGATAACCATAGCAGCATACAGCAAATGTGGCTGCCCGCAACCCGGTTTCCAGCGCAGCAGTAAGGCTGAAAGCAACGTTATACGACATCTGAGGCAATTATTGGTTTTCCATAATGTATTATATTCGCACACAATACGTGCGCGTTGGGATATTTGTTTAATGTAGCAGTTGTCATCCGTAATCATATACGAATTTCCATTCACACTCGTTCAACATCTTAATTTTTGCAGAGAATGAATGTGGTATTACTTCTTAATTGCGAGGCTGCTAATGAGAAGGCTGGTCTCAGACAGGCCCATAACGTGTTGAGACAACTGTGCGACAATGGAAACAAAGTCACGATATTTGGTGAGTGCAATTGTTTTGGATATTTCTCATTTTCATATTTTGAGCTCTTGTAAGATCAACTGCAGAATTAATTTATGCATTTCAAGCATTTCAAAGTTAAACTGCATGCAAACTTTTCCTCAAACGGGACACGTTATTAAATTTGAAAACAGCTAACTAGATGATTTTTCTAGGAGTATATGGAAGCGCCATGCATGCATATAAATATATGATGTTTATATATTACGCTAGATAATTCCGTCGAATATCAAATTATAAGAGCATAAACTCATTCTATGAAAAATTGTAGGAGCTTTACTGTGTTATATATATATATATATACATATATATATATATATATATATATATATATATATATATATATATATATATATATATATATATATATATATATATATATATATATATATATATGATCTAGATTCATTTAAAGCTGTTTTTCTATATATGATGTACATGAAGCAACGCTCGTAGATATAATAGCCCGCCTAAGCTTGCCTGCACTTAAGATCCGGACAAAATTGAATATGACATTTCCGGCCAATGTCTTCACACATCGCGCCGTATCCCGGCACGATCCGTAATATTGCATTGATCATTAGTTGCATTGAATAATAACTAGTTCCTGCATGTTCAAGCCCGGAGATGTCAAACAACGTTAAAACATACAGAGAAGTAAAGCTTTCCCAACTCCCAAGGCCGCATGTGTTGAAACTGTGCATGCATGCATGGGAGATCTGTTGAATAAATTATTTCAGTGGTTTTATTCGCGTGCATTTTCTTGTTTATATTTTAGCCGAATTTTTTAAAATTTGTTGCGGATGATTACTGCGGATGATTTTAACATTTATGTTATCTGCACTGCCACTATACGTGTATAATAGTAGAGATTATTATACATCTATTCATATATCTAAGTTATCGAAGGAATTCCCTTTCTTTTTGGCGAAATGTGATTGCATCTCTAACTTATGCAAACTCATTTTGAGCATCATCCATTTTGTTGCAGATTTATCCTAATAAATATAGTCAACTGAACACTTCTATCACTTTGTAAAAATTCTAATATTTTCCGCGGTCTAACCGAGGTCTATATATATATATATATATATATATATATATATATATATATATATATATATATATATATATATATAATATATATATAATATATATATATATAATATATATATATATATATATATATTACTTCACAAGAATTGCATTTTCTCTAGACTCTATAATTGAATTGCTCCCGCTGCTTAGAGGATAATTATAGAAATGACATATCCGTTCTCCCGCCGAGCCACCATCCAGTTATAAGTTCCCGTTTTGGTTTAAATGATTTTTTGTCATTAATTGTCATTTCCTTTCTGAACAGAATGCAAAGAACAGACAGCGAGGTTCGTTTTTGAAGAACCTGCGAGCCTTTTGTCTACAAAAATACTAGACCAGCGATTTCCGAAGAGAATCGTGGAGGCGGATGCAACCTTACTAATCACCGACAAAGCTGGGGCCGACTGTCCCGCATGCGTACGGAAACTGACCAATCTCGACAAAAGTGTTTATGTTTGGAACTCAGGTGGAATAAACTGTATACTCTTAGGTGGCTCAATCCACAGCCGACAGGCCGCCATGCAACTGCATGCGATCTTGGAGGAACGAAATTACTATCCGTACATGGCAAATGTGCTACCTCGACAGTGCTCATGGCATAATATGTACAGAGTTGACCCGAGTATGGAGACGGCTGGACCCTGTGTGCTCTGATGGCATTGTTCTTCCCCACACGCGAGAGTGGTGTGAATATATAATATATACTTTGCACTGTTAAGAGGCAACTTCTGTAAGGTAGCACAAGTTATGTATGAACCAAAGAACAATTATCAGGGGGGAACGTGCGGGGACGTGCCTAAATGTGTGACAATCTATAGTGTGTATGTTTTGTACATAAACTTGAAACTTCTATTTGGGTGTAGATATGACAATGTAGATAGATAGGGATGAAGAGGAATCTTTGGGTTTGTTAAAATTGTTATATAGTTATGTTAATATGAAAAAAAATATATAAATATGTATGCACAATTGAAATGAGTCGTAGACATTTGGTCATCAATATTTGATTTCGTACCGGTGATTAACGTGTGGGCGCTCTGTTGGGGAGGACACTTCAAAGAACCGACACTCGTAAGTGAAGATATAAAAAAAAGAAAAAACCTATTATTCTTATCTTGCTCTATTTTGCCAGAAGCTGCAATAAACGAACCAGGGAATGATATAGCGGGGAAACATGCATGGAATAAAAGATTTTTCCGATGCATGTGTTTGTTAATCTATATATACCCATGGCCTGCATGGGATCCCTCTTTACACAGAAGATAAGTTTCGCCCTGCCGAGCAATAATAATTCCTAACGTGCATATGATATAAGCACGATCTGATAGCCTAAACCGGGCATTCAAATGATAAACCGCTCTTGTGCGTGGTTTGCCAAGCTCCAGCCTCAAGCATTTTAATAAAGGTTAATGCATTTGGCAGTAAACGATTTTATAATTAAACATGAGCTTTCATCATGTTCTGCCTGGGAAAAACGTTTCGCTGAGACAATTACATTAAATACAATGATTAGACTTCTAGTGAACTGCTGAGTTTTCGATTTGTGTGACACAGCTAGATCCTAAACACATGCTATTCAACAGAATTGATATATTAAGTGTTCGGATACAAAAGGAAAATATATTTATTTCGAAATGAAAACACATTTAATTCAGATGATGTCTAGTAACAAACCTTCGTATATTTCTGCACTTCAAGGTTTTAAGGAAACGGAATATAAATGTTGGGATCTTTGGAACTTGAATTTACATTTTTATGCAGGTTCTCAAAAAAAGGGAACCCGCACAAATTATAATATATTTATTCCGGCAATTATAATTCACAATGAATGTAGTAATTATTCACAATGAATAATGTAATCATTTCCAAACGTTTAATTAACTTGACATTTTTGTGTGTGGATTTTGGGATATTAAATTTCTCCAACGGTATAAGTCAGAGCAAAACCATTAGGCCGAAAAAAATATTAATGTCATGCTTGCTGTTTTTTGTCGCGATGTCTTACGGGGACTTAATTCATGAATTCCAAAAGTACAAAAGTTTGTTATCAATCAAGTTGAAACATGGCAATTTCTGTGCTGTTGCAAGCATTTCTTTGTAAACAACGAGAACCGAAGCTAAATTTTCGCAAAGTTCACTATTCTACTGCATAATTCATGTCACCTCATAAATTGTTTTTATATAAAGACAGAACTTATGTGGATATCGATGCCAAAAACTCTGATACTTAATGGCCTTTTATGCCCTGTCAAGCTCTCGATCTGAAAGGAGGGGGGGTTCATACTTTGTTCATACATCTTACCTTCTTATTTATAGAATATCTTTGTAGAATCCAAAAGTTTTAAAAAAATACCAAAATGAAGGGCAGCTAGTAGCCTAGTGCGGCCAAATAACTCCTCAATCTTGGCTTGTCAATTTCTTCTTTGACCCTGAAAAATAATTTTGGACTTAGAAAATATATGTAAATATCTGTTGCAAAAGGGGCAGCTCAAGAAAGTGCCTAAATATGTATGTATAACTTTCAAATTTCCGACGGAACTTTGCGGTCAGTCTTACGATATGGACCCGCTATATGCAAATTCAAATAGTATTAGTATTATATTTAATTCTTAAAAAACTGATTAATTTCACACTCAATTGGCAACGAATGTTAGCATAACTGGACAAGTCGTCAGACTTGCTCAGGCTGTCAGGCACATACTACAGCCTACAGGTAGGAAGAAGAGCCAATTCTTTCGTAAAGAGCTATTTTAATACTTAAAAAGAAAACATTCGAAGGCGGAGAGGCTTGTCGATAAAAAGCTGTTGTCAGTTATGTTGGTCTTACACCCCCTGTCTAAAATTTTAGTATAAGGGCGGCCGCGGCATGTATGAACCCAGTTCTTCCAGCGTAGTTATTCCGCAGATGCTTATAGTTTGTCGACAAACGTTTGGTGTGAATTCTTGTTATCACACATTTGCCAAATTCCAAAGGCTAGTTAGCCTTGTCCAAGTAGATATAAATAAAAAGGTATGCAAATACGTGTAAAAAACAAAATCTTTGAGTGGGTGTTAATATCATTATATATATAAAAGACTAGAGTTGAAGTTTCTGTACTTGAAAGTTGAAAGATTTCTATAATTAAGGGTCACTTTATCGAGAATCTTCTCCGGTGAATTTTGGCGGCACTTGGACTCTGTTATTAAAAACCTCCTTCTTTGTTTCCAACGACAAAGAAAAAAGAGTTTCTAATGCCGGGAGCCATATTACAAACAGTAGTAATGCAATTAACGCCGAAAGGCTCAAAACATGCTTTTGATATATTCCATATACGTCAAGTGCATATTGTGTTGCTATGCTGTCTTCAGACCTACTGTCACCAACAAAATACAAGTCTCATTTTTTATTGCACAAAATACAAGTCTCATGTTTTATTTCTTCTATTTTTTTCGCGATACCAGACAAACTCAACAGACAATTATAAGACTTATAAGGCTGCACAATTTATTCGTCAGTTTATATAGTGCATAAGATAACATTTTAAGTGTTAGGACGATTCCGTGCCGACCGTGCGGACGTACGTATAAAGCACCGCTGAGTTTAAACATTGGGAATTATGGGAAACCACTATCGTGTATGTAGTGTTTTCAATCCACCCACATACGAGAGACTATTATCGTCTCATGTACAAAAAAGTATCTGTACTAGGGAGTTAATGAGCATGGGTGCTTAATAATGGCATTGGCACCTTGACGTCCCTATTTGCCGTATATTGTTCCATAGGCATAGCTGTGCACGAACTTCACGAATTTTGTTAATTGCTTACATCAATAATTTCGCAGCCACCTCCGTGAAGTATAAAAAATAGTAACTTTTCACTAACAAGATATTCATATGTTTTTTATCTGCACACTCCTATGAAACAGAAATTGACTGAAAACAGTTTTACTTGATTGACCCTTTTCATAAGACGTCAAACGCGGATTGCAAGATGTTTCTCGAAGATTAAAGGCTGGGATATAATATAACATATTGTAACATCAGTTTCCTCCGCTTGTGTTGTTAGTGAAACTAATGAAAGAGTCTAATTACTTTACACCGTAGGTGCACCATCGCAAGCAGGAATTGACGTACTTGTCTCAGTGTCGATCGCACGAGAGTCTGACAAAAATGTCAGCATTCCCGCATAGTAAATTGTTTAAAACAGCCCAAAACCTATCGGCGAAGCTTTGTTGAAGTTATGCTAAGAGTCTAATACCTAAGTTATATTGGCTATACTTATTAAAATCAATCAGAAGAAACCTTCATCACTTCATGCAGCTTAAATAAATAATTGTTTTATTTATACCTAACAGATATGAGTAAATTTAGAGCCATTTTATATATAGATATATTTAGAAACAAAAACATTTAGTGAAACAAAACAAATTCAGTGTTGCAAACTCCACGGCTTCATGTATACTTTTAATAATGTCTATCCCGTTGACAAACGTCTGGAAATAAGAAGTGAAAAAAATAGTTCGTGATATGACTTGATAATGATCATATATATACACTCTGCATTTTGGCTTAAAAACTCGAGTCGTTCAAAACATGTTTTGAAATCATTAACCTCGGATTGTACTTGGACTTGGTTTTACAACATTTTGACGTATTTTTAAACGAATTTCGAAATTTCGAACATTACACACCCAGTACTGAATACTGATAGCAACATCGTACTCAAGCCTTAAGTGCGAATTTGCCAGTTAGTTTTATGAAATTTTTTAATTTTCTAACACAACAAGCTTTATCAACAAAACAAATCCAAATACAAAATCACCCGTGCTGGTACCAGGTTACTACATACAACTGAACAATTATTTACTGTTATTTATACACTACAAAACTCGTACCCAGCTTCTGTTAAGGGCGCGACAAAGCAATCATACCCAGAACACCTCGCGACCCGTTGCAGCTATTCAGAATAAGTAATATCCCGTTTACAAGAACCGAATCTGTCATAATCATACCAAAAGTTAGACCTATCAAATTAATAAGCATTTAGTACTAACTGTGACATAACGGCAAACGAAACTGTCGTAACGGGGGAATCCGGTTTCGTGCAAAAGAAGCCTAAATAAAACTTCTGAAAGAAACCTTCCCCGGTCGAATGGTAGCATAATTTCAATCTGTCGATGTTTTAAAATATCTTTTGTAAATATCATTTCAACGGGTACGCAATTTGATAAACAGTTTTCCTGCATGAATACCAGTCAAATACTAACCAACAATCCTTCACGATTACTTGTGTTCTGGTTCACTCTGTCATTCCTTAATATTATCAGCCGCAATCAGCCCCTAATGTAGTACTGATTTTTGTACATGAACATTATTGTTCTTTGGTACAGCTTTCATTCCGACGCTCCTGGCACGATCCGAAGATAATTGTTCGCTTCGCAGCCTTGGATGTCCCTTGATTTCGATTTTGGTTAAATATTCCGCTGCAAACTTTCCTATTGCAATTTAGCAAGCCATCGAAACATGTGCATAAGCAAACTCGCTATGCTTCGCTAATTTCGTGGTGGTGGATTCACCGTACACGAAGCATAATTACGGCAAATCGTCATTTGTATACCGTCAAAAAAACAAAGAAATAAATGCCAAAACAAAATAAACAAAGGGGTAGTTTGATGGTTTTTGGCCTAATTATGTTATTTACCAACCAGTAATTTGCCAGCCCTATTGCCGGGTTGTCAGATTAGGTGAAAAAGTCAAACACTAAACAATAGTCAAATAATACCAAGAAACAAAAATTAACGGCCGAAATGAAAGACTGGAATAAATCTAGGTCTGTCACAACAGTAGCCCAGGAAAAAACATGCGTCCATCTACAATAAATTTGAAACCAGGAGACAAACTTTTAATACCTATGCCTATGGTAATGTACCGCATTAAATTTTTTTGTCGTGGTTCAGAGAACTCGTATGCTAAATTTCAGGCAATATTTTTTCTTATATCTCATACAAATCAGCATGTTACAGGAAGCGTTTTCTTGAGTGGACGGATTCCAGAATAACCTCCAGCCCTGGCTTTTTTAGTGTTATTTCCGTTTGACAATATTCCTATAATGATCAGCATTGAATTGAAACATAGACAAGCAAAGGAATTGAATGATTGAATTAACCATCTGGATTTATACGATTCCCCCCATATTTATTCATCCTAAATATAGTTCTTGAATACATCATTGGTATCAATTTTGTACGAAAATCTTTTAAACACCTAAAATTTAAACTAAAAAAAATTTGCATCGAGGAGGAACATTTCGAAATACTGTTTGAAATCTATTATCATTTACCATAATTTAACCATTGGTCATTTCATTAAGCAGGACTTAGCAGGTATAAATATTAATGTCATTTTCAAATGCAATTCATCATTGCAATTCTTTTAGTAAGGTTTTCATTTCTTCAAAGATATTCGATACCAAGGCGTGGTCACTCGATTTTGCATCAACTGTGACGTTCGTCTCATTCTGGAAGGATAAATTGGCAGCACAAGCTATCAATTCTGTTATGTGGACAAATTATTGTACAAGTTTTTATACAGAAAAAGCATAATTAATTCCTAGTTTAATCAGCGGCGTAACCAAGCAGCCAGGCGATTTAGTACTGCCCTACTAATATTTTAGTGTTTAAAAGTGTTTATGACTGTAAAAAAATGCATTTCCTACGAAATGGATAATTATTAATGAAGATTGGCAGAGCAGGTCAAAATCGTCAGACAGACAGGCTGTCTCGTGTCTAAGCCTACGATTTTAATTCTCGTGCACTCAAGGATAAATGGGTAATACCAGATGGGAGCTCCGGTAGTAAAATTGTTTTCCAATCGGCTAATTTGTTTCCAAAAATAACCTTCTCAAAACTGGCTTTGCGTCAGTGTTTTGCGTCACAGAGTATAAAAATCAACTTCCCGCGATAAATTCTATATCGCGAAAATTCTTTTCGTACGACCTCATTCGCAAACCAATCGCATCCATGCAAGCTTCACGCGCCCACATAAATACCACGATGATGGCAGATGGCATATATACCTTTTTAATAAGGAAACACAAGTTATCTTGCAAAATTGAACGCCCAAATAACGACGCACTGTTATCAACACGCTCAACAACTAAAAAAATCGATGAATATAAGATATCAATAAGACATTGCAAACTTCACGACCAAAAGCACGCGCTTGTGCTGATTTTACAGCATTTTTCTCGACTTTACCTGATAAATGAAGGTTGTGGCAAATTTTCGATATTATAAAACCGAAATCGACCTCCGCAGCTACAGAGACCTGTCGGATGAACAAACACATGTTCAACAAATTATTCGCTTAGGTTTACGTGTCTAAAACTAAAATACAGGTGTTGAATGAACGTCAGACTAGGTTGTTATTACCGTGCGAAAGCTTTTTATATGCTTTTAACTTTCCTAAACATTTTCAAGATATATATCTGAACAAAAAAGCCACTATCTGCCATTTTGGATAGGCATATCTATACTATCTTGTATATATGCGTAATAGCACTTAACTAAGAACTTACCTCGGTCGATGCTTTTCCGGTCAGTTCACCACTGCTCAGTAATGCTGCAAAGTTATCACTATAGGATAAAAAATTCTCTTGTAAGATATTCGTAACTGATATTTTGTATAGAATTAAAGCATGGAACAACTTCAGAAAATAACCAAAAGAACGATATATAACAAATCAACGCGTAAATCAGACAATCATGCAAGCAAAGTAATTTTGGTAAATAATAAATGGATCGGCAAGCAGTCAATCGTTTATTAACATTTTATCGAAATGGAAATCAGTAGTCCTTACCCCATTACGACAATCACCTTGAACTATTTTGCAATTCGCCACAATTCTGGCAAAACGTCGTGCACAGTCTTGCATGGTTTTACCAATAAAATAACGCTATGAGACCTCATAATGGGCCAGGTCATTTGAATTGCAGGCTACTCACCTTGAGCAGGCCGTAGGTATTATATACGAAGAACAAGGAACAGCAAGTTTAAAGTCTAATTTTTCGCTTGTCGCTCCGTTTTCATTCTAAAATACCAAATATTACTAGTTTCAGCTTTCAACGCCTCCCCGTCCTATTGTGCACACGAAAGGCTAATATTCGGCTATTCAGCGGCTCTGCCTTGACAATGGACAGACACGATCCCTCGGGGGGACGCTTCCACTTCTTTATGTGTAAATCAAAACAAAGCAATAATGACAAACCTGTATCATGTAGGTAAGAGTTGCTCTTAGTTTTTGAGGAACTCCAACTTTCTCCGACTTGAACGCGAACTGACCTTCGTTCGCAGCCCCTGTTGTAATGAACACTCGATATTAAAGGTACATATACTATAGTGGCAACGCTACGATAAAAAGGCTTCCTATAGCCTCTGTTTTATAGTCCATGCAACAATCTCCAGCAAAACCCTAACACTGGTTCCCACTATAACCAGTCTCTGTTATCCCACGAAGGGTAAGCAATAAATGCGAAAGCAATAGAGAGAGGGCATCTAAAGGGCCATGTACGCACGTAGCTGCATTTGGGAAATATCCAGGAGAGTGGTTGGCGGCGGTTGCCTTAACCACACTTCATGAACGATCTTACGAATACACAGATATTAAGTATACTGTAGGATAATATAGGGGAGTAAGACTGTGGTAGGAAATGCGATAAACACTTTTTAATAACCTGCAGGTAGTTGAAACGGAACTTTGACAGAATCATGTGATGAATTATCCAGCTAAAAGGTAAGAAAAACATCTTATCTCTCTCGCTTAATACAACTGGATTTAGCATGGCAATATTTGGCTTAATATTCAATACTTAACCCAAATACAGTACCAAATTCAAATTTGTTTCTAAATCGCAAAAGCTCTCCTTGCGTTTGTGTAACTATATTCCAATACCAATTCTTGAAGTGTTGTGGTCACTTACTGGTCTAACCATTTTGGTGTTTAAGGTGTCCATAATATTCATCTCCAAATTTTTCATGTGCAATTCAGTCAAGTTACTGGAAATATATAGGTAAACAAATTTAAACCATTTTACAATTTTTACAATGAATCATGCATTAGTTAATCCTCATATCCCTCATTCTAAAAGGTTAACTATATTCCAGAGAACTTCTTCAGTTCTCGTATTTAGGGTATGTTTGTAAGAAACTAATGATCAATCCCATGCACACATGTTAGTTATTTATACCTCCAATACTAAACAGTCTCTTTACTCACTTGAAAACAACTAAAGCTACAATTTGCCCAGTTACTTGTGGATTTGGTTTCATATCATACGTCTAGATTGTCAAAGATATTGTATTTTGTATAAGAATGACATCAGGCGCTCGAGAGGAAAGAAAAGAGCGTGCGTTAGAGAAAAAGCGAGATGACTGAGAGCAGCAACACTAACAAAGGCACGGGAAGAAAGAGCATGAGAAAAAAACGAGGGCACAGGTAGGGGCAGGGGGGAAGGGGAAATTAAGACCAAGGGCGAGATCGCCGACAAAAGCAGAAGCATGAGAAGGACTAGGAGTGAAGGCAATAAAAGAAGTGAGGAAATAGCAAGAACAGAGCTGGAAAAAGAAAAGAACAATTGGAGCAGGACGTTGAGAAATGGCATGAAAAAAGTTGCAACAGCTGAAATATTTAAAAAACAGAAGAGGAAGCACAAGCGGAGCCGAGGTTGGGCCAAGGTATAAGCAAGAACAAGAGCAGAAGTATTAATTGGTACAGAATTAGGGAAGACGATAAGAGAAAGAGAATGACGATGAGCAACGAAGAAAAGAAGCAAGAGCAGGCTACGGAGTAAGTAATACATAGTAGTAATATGAAAACTTACTAGTCTAATATTTTTATCCTCCGCGAGTAACTTATACTTTGTTGTTTCCTAAAAGGAAAGTTATTTACTTCTTCGTGTATTCAACCCTGTCTAATTTTTGTTCACCAGGACAAGAGGTAGATTTTATAATTGATACCAAGAGTGTGACCGCAAGAACAGTGTATAGCTACACGCAATTATTCAAATACCATGCAGTACAAAACAGTTTAAAGGGAATCTATCATATAAATTCACGATGGTCTGCACATGCACTAATGCCGAATGACCTTACCTCTGGTTCTTGTTCCAAATCACCTAAATTAATCATCGAAGGTTCCTCAGCTGGAACATCAGGCTGTATATTTTGTTCATCAGGTTCGTCTCGTGGTTTCTTTTTATCTCGTTTATGTTTCTTTTCTTTTGATTTTTTCTCCGATTTACTTTTTTTAGACTAAGATCGGAAGGGAATTGGATCGGAAGGAAACGTTTTAGTACCATGAAACAGACAGGATCGACAAGGTTTGATAGTGTGATGCGAGACAATACGATAAAAGAAATGACAAACGAAGATGACGTGACGTATATTATATGTAGCTACAACGTTGTTTCAATGTGGGGGTGATTTTTTGTGCTTCAGATGAGCAACGAGGTTTCTCATTGTTTCGTTACTCACTTTAGATGATTTTGGAGTTTCGACAGTTTCTGATGCCGGTTTCACAGGCGACTCAACTTTCACCTCATCTTTCTATAGAAAATGGGTAACAGTAATTGCAAGTACTCACATTAGATGGAATATAGCTAGCATGCAATAATTATATAAAACGACAATTTTGGGTCAACTTAGGAAAGTCCTGGCACTTTGACACAATTTCATAATACATCCGTTCTTTTGAGGAAGGGATGCGATGTAATGAACATGTTGCAGGAGCAAAAAAGATCAAAGTGGAATCATTTTTAAGCGAGTAAAGTTCATGGTTTTGATATGCAAGCTTTTAGAGCATTTGAATATACGTACATCAGTTGATGCGGGAGTCTGTGTTACTACTGGCTTCGGTTCGGGAGTAGATAGCCAATAGTCGACATCGTTTATCTGAAGTGATATAAGTTGTTCACATTAGTACGAAGCGAAAGGAAATTACCCACAACTGTCAGCACACTAATATAACCCCACCTAAAACACCAAATGAATTCAAATGTGTTGGGAAGACCAACAGACCACAAACGATCATGGTGTTATCAATAGTTTATAATATCATCATTTATGAACATCGAACCCTGCTAATGCTCGTATATAGGGTTCTTTTACCACAATCAGATTTCCGACAAGTTCTATGAATTGTATGATGAAATCATAAAGAAAAAAATACTAATAGTATTGTTATTGGTTATACTAGTTATTGCTAGTGCTGTAACAATATTAACATACATCAGGCGATTTCTGCGGTACATCGTCTTCCGGTTCATCTACCACAGCTTGGACTTCAGGAACTACAGGTTGTACATCCTCTGTTGCTTCTGGAGTTTCCGTTTTTTGTTCTTAAACGATATACACAACTCAGTCAACTTGTTCTTAAACGATATACATAACTATAACTTTAGTTATTGCAAATATTCCTGCAGCTAAACATATATACCGGTACATGTACTACGAATATACAAAGGCACGCGTGAGAACAACTTCATTGTTATAAAAATGAAAAATACCTGACGTGTGGTGTTTTTTCTTTTTCCCATGCTTATGCTTGCCATGTCGGTGCTAAACGAAGAGACGATATAGCGGTTACGGTTTAGGAGGAGGGTATATGCTCAACAGAAGCCAATCTCAATCAAATATCAAATGTACCTTTTTGTCATCACCATGCGATTTCTTTCTATGTTTGTCTTTCTTCTTCTTTTCTTTCTGTCCATGCAAAATATGTAATATTAGGTAACTGAGTATAATAAAAAAACTCGAAAGTATAAAATGTTATCATTACCAAAGCAAAGCTTAGGTAAAATTGAGCAATTGTTAGGTGTGGAAGAAACGCTGGAAGGTAAACTCTTTTTTCTTAGCACCATCACACATTAGCCTTAGAAATCATTTTAAATTTTCTTTCTTAATCTTCATGAGCAGAATTTGTGAGAATAGCACTTGTTTTATTGTATTGTGCAAATGAGGCGAACACGTCTTCATACAATTAATACAAGTTACTAACAACTTCAGTCTCTTCAGTTTCATTCTTCTCCGTCTGAGGTGAAGTGACACGATGAGTGCGGACAGGTAGCCTTTCACTGTCCTCGAGAGGTCTACAAAATTTTTTTTGATATTATCACACACGAGCAGATTTATATAGGTAACACTGTCAATGTTAAAAATCTGTGTGTGGTGCTGAACGCACAGCTGTAAAATTAAGACTATAACCACCCCCTTCCCTTTCTAATGCGGTTCAAGTCCTAATGTTATCATTATAATATTGTTGGGGCGAGATAAAGCCATACTTCTCAAGATCAACGTTCAGTAGACTGTGGGGATCATTGACATTAACTTTGTTGTCATCTTCATCTTCTTCATCAGAGACACGAGCATTCTGTAAAAACACATGATGTAGATGTACAGTAGTAGATCCATGGAATGATTGAATCGAATAGAAAGGAATCCTGAAACTGGCAACTTTTTTAATGGGAAAAACGGATCAGAGTAGAGTGTGGTTGTTAAAGGTCGACTTTAAAACTAAAACTTCAGCGCTTTTGCGCATAGATATGCTCTTCATTTGGTATGTGATTCAAATGGCATAATTGGGAACCTACGTCAGGCATTTCCCCTTCAACAGTTTTCAATACTTGATAAACAGGACGAGGCTCATCAGAATCAGAATCTCCTTTTCGCCCTTTCCTTCCTGCAAACATAGAAATAGTCTACTTGGCACGTTGTTTTGAAACGCTAGAAGTTATCCTCATTTTGAAACAACGCGTGCAGGGAAAATACATATTGGCAGCACTTGGAAACTGAACATAACTGACATGGCCATATAGTAACCAAGTAATTGCTGACTTTGAAGCAAGTGAATTTATGATAAGTTTGTCAGTATTGTACTAATCTGGTTGTAGGTTGATGTCCTTTGATCAACCAAATCGCCTGGATTGAATATAAGTTCGGATTTTCAACAATGGAATAGGAGGTGTAAGCAGTGAAAGTAAGTGGCCATAATTTTACAGTCTGTTCATGGACCAGATTGAAAAACACAAAAAAATTGACAAAATAAATCTTGATTTACCTCTTTTCTTCTTGCTCTTTGATTTTCGTGAAGATTTTGAAGCACTGGAGCCTAGGAAATAACACACGATTAATAAATAAAAAGTATCGCAATATGGTAATCGTACAATACGGCAGCGATCTGCTATATGGCTTTCGGGACCGTGCATGCGGCCCGAAGTGAATTCAGTGCATGTGCATGAGCTCGCTGCTGAAAATGGCGCGTATATAAATGCCAGTCACAAATATTACCTTCAATGTGAAGGGAAACAGGTATTTCTAATGACGCCACAGGTATGTCTTCAATTTTCATTTGCTGAGAATTCTATCGTGAGAAACATTATTTCCAGTTCATTTTTAACCATGCATTGTCTGGACGCATGACGAATAAGGGGCGAGACTTGAAAATATATTAAATAATCAGTGGCGTTGACGTCGTCACGAGCGTGTACTGCTCACCACAAGCAGGACAGAGCACATGACGAGGGGAGACCCACTAGATTATCGCCATTGCTGCACTTGCCTTCTTTCTGTTGGACGTGCTTCCTTTCAAGTAATGTGGATTAAGCATTTGCTCCTCGCGTCTCTTCTCCCTTAACTAAGATAAAAAAACACGTTTTGAATTATAGTTCGCTGACTGAAAGATGTCCGCCATCTTGGGCGGAAATAGTTTTTTACCAAACATGCTTACAAACCTTTGAACTTTTAAAACCATCCGAAATAAGAAGATTGGATATAAGCCACAATGCCAATACTAATCTCAGTTACTTTTGTTTGTTTTTAAATACCTGTACGCAATATTTCCACCCAAAATGGCGGAGGCTTGTGAACACGAATTATGACGTCATGCAGGGGAAAGGGTTTCAGAATACGAATACCGGTACGCTTTAAATTGTTTCAAGTTAAAACCAAATAAATCTTCTAAAAAACCAGAAACATTTCTTTTTTCATCAGTATTTCTGCTGAATTTGTTTGTTGTCACTTGTACGCTTATCATGTCACTGACAAGCCGAACGCACAGTATATATACATATATAACAGTAAAATATTAAACCTTTTCTAATTCTTTTTCGTCCACTTTAGGCTCCGGTTTCTTATACGATTTCTCTGACCTAAATAATAAATTTTAATACAATGATGACCATTTTTCTCACAAATCATCGAAGTTACAATTCCTTACTTATCCACTTCGAAGAACATGCTGTCAATATCTTCATCTTCAACTTCCTCTTCTGAACTTTCAGGTGGATCATTTATCCACTTGTCAAGATCAAGCCTAGAACGAAATACTGAAAGAGTGAACAAAGACTGCTATTCTCATACCCTCTCAACACTGAAGTATAGCAACTATTTATAGCAGGTAGTGCGGACAATGGAAACGTTTTAATGGCGTAGGGTAACATATCTCTGCATGAATACAGTTTTGTGCAAAAATTATATATAGGTCATCTCCTAATGATCACAACTTATTGCAGTTCCAAACTTTTTCACTTGTGGAATATATGCGAAATATATACGGGTAGCTATATTGGATCTGTCTTCCCATGCACGTATTTTGCATTGACCGTCAAAATGTGCTCAGAAAAGCCATGAAAGTCATGAATGATGAATACCGGAACGAATATATATAAGACCTTTGCACAACTGTACAACTAGAGACTTTACGAGACATACCCCTCAGGAACTGGCACTTTCTTTTGAGCTTTAGTTGCAACTGGATTAAGTTCGCCAGTAAATAATAAAGACACTTCCGCAGAACACTGAACACCTGCAATTTTGGATAATGCATATACAGTGAACACGCGTGCGAAGATATTGCGTGCACAAAACTTGCACAATTAAATATCTTACCTTTTGCTTGGAGTTTCAAAACGTACTTAATCAGTTGAAGACCAACACAAGCCTAGAAATACAGTTTATATATAATATCCGTCCGCCTATGCAGTTATTTGAATCAAACTTTTTGAAGTTCTGACATATTCCATACCCTTTCCTGGACTTCTAAATCACTACTTTGCGTAAACATCGGTAACCTATCCACCACCATTTGTCCAAGTTCCTGAGCTCTTGCCATGTCTCCCTAGATATACAAAATATAGAATGGACGACTTGCGCTTTAGACTAATTTCTTACCTCGGCGATAAAAAGGACATTTTCTGAAAGAGCTTACTAAGATTAGTAAAACTGCCAAGTTTGGCTGCGAATTGTTGTATATTACGGAAAATATAGCCATGCGAAGTTGACGAATTTTGTATACTTTTGTATTACCGCCAAAAGTGAATACAAAAGTATACAAAATTTGCCAACTTCGCATGGCTATATTTTCCGTATTTTACAAAATTTCGCAGCCAAACTTTGCATTTGCACTAATTTAAGTAAGATCTTTCTAGCTGTGATGATATGTTTTCTTCTAGTTACTTCGATCAAAAATTAGTCTAAAGCGCAAGTTGTCCATTGACATTATGTTTCCACTGCACGAATTTGTTCGCGATTCACGAGCCCCCAAATGAAAAGTTCAATTGTATTTTTATCAATTTGGTGGCGAATTTGGTCGCCTACAGTTACTTCACCTCATCTTCTGCTTTCGCCATTATGTAGGAATAGAGTTTGAGAATGTTTTGGACATAGACACTCTGAATATGCCCAGGAAGAGAAGCAACTCTAGACTTCAACATAAACATTAACACAGTTTTCTGGTCCGGAAGAAAACTAAAAGGATAGATAGAACCAAGGCGTAAGTGGAAGTTGTTGATAGAGAATAGATATTACAATTTTGATCACCAGAAATTACTATCAACACTGAATGCCATCGGCTGGGCAAACTGGTGCACTCAAAGATGCATAACATTGGTTGCAAAGTGCATGAGGCAGTCGTGGTTAATAACAAACTTATTTGCACACAAATACTGTGCCACCATTTTCATGGCTGGTCAGTTTGGGTAGGGATATTGATAATTATATCATTTTATCGTTGACAGACGTTTGCACATTTTGCAAACTAGAATGAAAAAATTGAGCGAGCTAAAATATCGAGTTTTTAACGCTGTAATTCAAAAGCATGGTAATTCCTGGACTTACTTAGCAAACTCTCCACAAATCCACGCTGCAGCAAACAGAACTTCACACATGCCATGCTTCTGTATCGAACCACTTAACAAGTCTGAACTGTCCAGCAGGAACGACTATGAGAGACGAATATTTGAGTCTTATTTCATTGATACTAATACACCAGGTTTTTATGAGACATACATGCAGATATAGCAATATATACGAACGTCATGCACACAACCCATGCATGCATACTGAGTAACGAGTCTGTCGTGACAAGAAGAAAAGAATGCAGGTGCAAGTGTATCACAGACTATACCAATGTACGTCGTAACTAACTAACTTACAAGACATTGTACGGCGTATGACCTCACAGCCTTTACACGAATAGGAACGTCCAACATTTGGGCAGCAATGAGTTTACCATGCCTTGTCCCTTCAACCTTTGTCAGCTGAATTAAAACGTCTATGTACCTACAATGAGAAACATGGCATGCATGATGATGCATCATCGGTTCGAAGGCAAGAGCATAATAACAATCACACATAAACGACTTCCCAATGCAGCTTTGTTGTATATTCTAGGGAAAGAAACATGTCCAACAAGACGCCGGCTTAGGCGTACACTCGTGCTCTAGGGATTGTGTTTTAGGGATTTAATAGCATTACTTGAGGGACACAATCATGGCGTGTTGTGGGAACCTATAGCGTAAGTTAAGGCTTTATGGTTACCCTAGGCCTGGGAGGACTTACACGACAAAAATGTATCACACAAGTATAAAATAATACATTATTATCACAATTCACAAATGCCGATTATAGGTAGTAGCCTATAAACAATCCGCACGGCGTGACATATTACTGTGTCAATGCTTCTATTATATATTGACTGCAGACTGCAGTGTTTTAGTTCCGACGAAAGCTTTCAAAAATCTAGTTGTAATAGTATTGATTCGCATTGTTCGTAATGTCAGTCGACGGTTCAAACATTTAGGTATTAATAAGTGTGATATATAAGCATTTGTAGGTCTAAAACTGCGAAAACATCGATCATATATCTTGCTTTCATATAGGAATTTAAAAATATACATCGCACCATGGAATATGCATTAAATGTTGCACCGTAGTAATGTCTTCTGTGCATATATATTTTGCATCCTTCGTATTGTTTGTAAAATGTGGTTTGTATTGTCGGATAATTATATCTCGTAATATACATCGCACACCGTAGTAATGTCTTCTGTGCAATATATTTTGCCGTATTGTTTGTAAAAGTGGCTTGTATTGTCGAATAATTACATTTCGTCATACATTATTGGGTCAAGTGCGCAATGCATTCTGGGTCATCGAGGTCCAAAACGCGACCGACACACGACGAAACCTAGACTCGTGCCCTCCTGGAGCACGAGTAAAAATATAGCACTTACTGCACCTGCATGAGCTTTGCTTTTCTGCATGCACGAAGCATTGGACTTCAGAAAATATGTAATTTGAGAAAAGGAATCCATGGAACTTACCATTCGAAGTTTGTGATATGCTGATAGTCAGACTGACTGCAAATCATAATTATCTTTGATATAAGTTCATCACGATATCCTAAGCAGAAATAAGTAGAACAGCGTTATCAACGTGAGAATGCAATCAATATTCTAGGACCTTGTCGCACGTCTTGTTCTCTAAGACTTGCAATGCTATTTCAGGCACAGACTATTGTCAAGCAAAGATACCGTACGTGACAATCTAACTTCGACTAACAACTTCGCATCAAAGTACCATCAGTTGTTTTATTAGCAAAAACCGAACGTTACCAGAACTGTCACATTTCTCCGTTTGATGAATCAATTTTTTGACAATATCCATTAAATTCTTTTTCGTAACCTGTTGTGAACCGAAAATGTAGATTTAATATATGGTACGTTTATTATACATGAGTTGTAAAAGGTATATGAAATATGATCAAGTTTCCCGAGCAAAGATCTTGGTCAAAAGTCACTCAAAACGTTTATATTATGACTATAGTTGAAGCACAAGGGTATATAGCTAGTACTATAATAAACTTACCATTCCCACGATGAGATCAAGTGCCCTTCTACGGATGAACTCGTCCTTATCATCGAGACAATGCAAAATGATATCTCTAAAAATAAACAGAATATAATCTTGGTTTACCGAGCGTCCCGTGCATCCAGGGAAGCATACACGAATAGGCTTTATCTACTTACGTATGCTTCACACGAACTCACGTATATGTACTTTATGAACTTTTAAAACTGCAGTAAAATCACTAAATAGCCTTATCATACTAATGAAGGCATGCTGTATATAATGCCATCGTGTTTTTATACAGTGTATACACTTACTTCAGTGGCATAACCGCTTTTGGGTGAACTTTTAAAATCTTTGACATTGCTAACAGTCCAAGGTATTTTACTTAAGAAAAAAATCATAAACATTACAATGTTGTTTTTGCTTAGTAAATTGCTACCGGTAATGAGTTGAGATAAAATACGTCCCCTAGAGCTAGTAAAAACAGTATGCCGTATACTAAAGGAATCTCGGCTCATACAATACTTACAGTTTTGATCACAGTCTTCAATGAAGATTCTTAACTTCTGAACACATAACTATAAGATAATGAGGTAGGCGCACTTAGTGATTGTCTGAAACCCCATTCGCGCGAAAAAACTATCTGTAAAAACTGTACATGTCAACAAGAAAAACTTTTGGAACGTTTTTCCTCTTAGAAAGATATATAGTTTTGACAAAGTTCTTAATGCCACTGTCTTAATCTAACAGAACTCGAATCCAACTCTGACATCCAAAATCTTACCTGCATTGATGGTGTGTGGTTGGGAAGTCCTGAAAATTAAAACGTGATTCATACAGATTTTACCGATATGGACATAAAATATTGATTCAAGGGGTAAATTGACAAAGTTAGTATTAAAATCTACCTGATATCATCGTGTTCACGCACTCGTAGAGTAAGGACATTGCTGAAGTTCTGAAAAAGACAAACAATACGTGTTCAGAGGAGGGAAGTCTGAATTGTTCATTTTCAAGAGGTAGAGCACAAACTTACGTGTGTATCAGATTGGTCAGAGGTTCGATCATTTTCTTTCCCAAACGTGGTTCCAATGGACATAAAGCACCAAACTACAAGATCAAGTAAGACTTATTTTCGGTTTAATAAAAAAACCAACCATATACATGTTCCGTATGGTCAGTATGATCCTTACCAGCTTAATGATCTTGATCAACGTCCAGTTATTTGTCGAGCTGTTCATCAGTTTGAAGAAGACGGGTGCGAGTGAGAGATAGTTCTTAGGGTTTTTCCGAGCAAGTTCACATATTACATTTACTGCCGCAGATTGAACACCTGGGAAAAGCGAGAAAAACGAACTTAAGTAGTGCTGTGCCATGTAGCTATACTACGTTGAAATTTTAGGAGGATGCTTGATGGTTGTTATGTTGTACCCATGCAGTGGCCACAGCATAGACGTACAGTATAGCGCGTTAGGGCGGGTGTGCATTTTCAAATATTGTATTCAGTTCTGCCGATAGATTTCTTTTGAAAGTACGAAGGCCTACAAAAGAAATCCGATGGGCACAAAGAACATATGAACATGCATCCCGCAATTATTCCATTTAGTCACGCCCTTGGGCTAAACATATATGTAGTTGTTACGCCCCTGGGCTAAACATACATAAAGAAATTATCCATACAGTAAACAAGGGGTTTTTATTACAATTCGATTGCGCAGACATCCATAATGGCCTTCCTCAGGGGCGTTGACGTTCTCGTTTTATCTTTGAGGTGTAGCCTTAAACATTAGCACCACGTCATTTGAACTTACCTGGTTCACTGTCTTCCAACTTGTCTTTCAATCGGGGAAATGCAGGACGCAATGCCTCAGGAAACTAAGAAAATTTTTATAGTCAAAAACTGTCTGACCCTAAACTGACCATGACTAATACAATGGGCTAACGTACTGTACTTTCTTGCCATGTCTGAATCAACTAGACGGAACTAGTTTTAGCAAACAAACAAACCTTCAGGAAAATTTTAAACAGCAACAAGATTCCTCGTTTTCTTATGTACGGACGAGTGGCCACAAGCTGAAATAAAAACGCTGTTTAAATAATGAAAATACATTTCATATAGGTACTGTTCAATTTTAGGAAGTTAATTAAGTTTTGAGTATTGGTGTTGAATATATAGTATTATAAGGAAAGTCACTGCATAGTGATTGAAAATTTGGTCCTATTTGATTTCATTTTACCCTTATAACAAATGAGATCTTTCAGATAGATACATGTGGCAAATTTAAGAATACAAATTAGGACTAGTATTAAGAGCAAAGATGCTTACCAAATTGGTAACATCATTTGCCAGATCTCTAGCCAAGTCTGGTGTGAGAAAACAGGATAAACCATTCAGAGTAACCCCAGCATCGTACATATTGGTACTTGCAAGATCCTTTCTAACCATGTTTGTTGTTAGCATTAGAATATCGAGATCTTCATGGAAACATTGCGATGCAGAGAGATATCCAATACGCTAAAAGAAAATCAATGAGAGAATCATACAACAAGAGCATGGGGTTATATGAATTATAAAGGCTTCACAGAACTTACCTTGAAGGTGAATTTTGATGAACTCATGACTTCAATAATATTGAAAGCTGCCCAACTGATGTCATAACCCAACATTTGAATCTAAACAAATGAAACAAATCTTATCTAAAGCACCTATAATACCTCACATTTCTGGATGCAGGGACTGCATTATGCATTAATTTAGTGACTGATAAAAAAATTTGCACAATTACAGTTAGACTATCTAATTGGTACACATAGTACAACTACAAATTTTCAAAAATAAATAACATGTTAAATGAAGCAACTGCAACTTACATAAATGAGCTTAGTGACAGCATTAGCCTTGACATTTGCATTCTCTTGTTTGAGCTCCTGTTTTATTTCATCCAGACAAGATGTAATAAACTTGGCCTGCAAAGGGTAATAATTTCATGAGAACAACTGCCTTAAGTCGTGTGGATTATGAAAGTGTAATAATAGAGGGCTTAAGATTGATGCTAACAGCAAACCGGTAACCAGAGGTGGGAAACTTTAAATCACATTTAAAAGTAAACCCTACAGTTTAGTTTCATGTTTCAATTTGTAGCCTTGGCAAATTACTAACCAAGTTATGTTTTCAGACCTAATGTATAAATCTATCAGAAGTGGAAATTTGTGTGACATTGTCTACTTGTCTCAAAATTTCATGCATATAATAGTTTAACACAATATTGGGTGTCAAGATGACATTGTCAGTAGGCATGAAGTGTTATGGAACCAAGTGCAGCTTTAAATTTTCCTGCCCCATTTACATTCTAGTATATATACTTTTTTGCAAGCAACTGAATCCCAACAATACCATAAGGTTTAATTAAATACATTTTGGAATATGAGTGCCATGCAAGTAGCCACAGTGCCAATAATATGCAACTCAAAATTCTTTGTATACTAAGATTCTTACTAATATATTGTACACATTGTATACAATTTTTCCTGGACAAATTATTAAAACCACTAGATATGTAAAAAAAGGTTTTCTACACCCAGGCACACGCAGTATCTTCCACTCATTCACACAAATGAATTTACTACACAATCCTGAGGAAATCATGTGACAATTACCAGCAGAAATCCCAGAAAAAATATACAATAGAACACAGTCATTCTAAGTATCCAAACAACTTCATTATTGACGGCACAAACTGATAATAGATTAAATTGGTCAAAGCATCGCAGTGTGATCATTTGAAATAGCTAGAAAATTTCGAATTATCACTTTCATTACATAGGAAATACTAGACGTGTCGGTATAAACTCAGTATAAATCTCGTACCTCGTTCTCTTTATGATTTCTAAGTCCACGGACTAAATCGGTCAAATTCCGTTCAAAAACCATGTTGAGTTATAAAAGCAGAGTAAAACCTATCTAAGTAAAGCTTAACAACAATTTCTATTAGCTCCAAAAGTTCGAAGTTGAACTTTGAATCACAAAACAAAACCACTCTGTCTGGAAACCATTTTGTACAGTCATAAGATCATACCTTTAAACATCCTCTATGATCACATTTTGTCAACACATACCGCCCCTATCCCACAATGTCCATGGTATTCAGGGCAGTGATGCTATGCCAATATGGGACAAAATTTACCAAATTACTTTTGCACAAGAAAAATTATGAAGAAACTATATAGCCATTCAATACAAGAATAGTAACGTTTATTTAACAAAAGATTTTTCTAGCTAATCTTTCAGATTGTAAATGAATCAAGGTTTCAGGAAATATTGGAATGAATACAACGCATAGGTAAACATCAATACAACGCATTCCCTTCAATAATGTTCTGTATGCAAAAAAGAGTTTTAATGTTCTGTAGTACTACCGTGTGTACGTACATATAATACATGATGCCAAAGTCTGTTGCCTGTTGTACGTACATATAATACATAAAGTCGTGTCTGTTGTCATTGAATCCAACTTGCATGACAATCTATGTATTTCTTATACCAAGAGCTTGCTCTAATTCTGCCCGTTTCTGCTGCACCTACAGTGACAAACCACGTAACATAATCAGGTTAAATGAACAAAACACATTTCTGTGCACTTGCACAAGCTAGGGTACTTCATTGTTAGTCTCAACCAACCAATCTAGAAAACTTCACTTGTATGTCAAAAGCAAGTGGATGCACAGTATAGTATGTTACCTTGGTATAGAAATAACGACACACAGCTTCTTGTGACCAAGGAAGATAATAGAAATCTGCACGACGTTCTTCCTCCGGATTTCCAACAACATCGGTCATAATCTGAAACATCAAAAAGGTCAAAGCTCACCACATTTATGCTCACCATACTATCATAAGAAAAGCAGATTTCGTATAAGTTCCCAGTGATTCTTATCTTACCAGTTGTAATATTTTTATTTCTCGTAAACTTTGAGTGATGCAAATTTTGAAAGTGCTTTTGTGAATTGTATATAATACACAAGTTCCTAAATTACCTTCAAATCCCTATTCTGTGACGTTACCCACTTGCTAATGAACTCCTAAGCAAGAATAAACGCGAAGAACATAGAAATAAGTTTACTTTATTCCCAAAAGCATGGACATATCCCAAGATTTACACGTTCAACCACTGCGTGAATCATGAATGTCTTGGCTTTTCTTACGTGCAACTAGCACAACATGTATTCTCACCTGAGGTCCTTGTGCAAATCCTAAAAAGAACTCTCTACTAACTTTAAGTTGATTGATCGTTTCGACAGTTTCGTGAATCTGAAATTAGCAAGTCAGCTGCAGTATATAAAAATTCATTGGAAGCAACACATCTCTTTTATAGGTCCGAAGAATAATAGAATTGTCACAAACGCATTAAGTCCCCTGTTTTGATCTTTAGATTTATTTGGTCCCATACCCATCGATATAAGCCTTTTTTTAGTCCGGTATTTATACCTTAGTATCCAAGTTGGTTATTTCTTGTTGGCTTGCGGTGGAGAGAAGAAACGATTGCATCTGAGATTTAAGCGTGTCATCCTAACATATGCAGCAAAAATAAATGCAAAATACTGAATAAGGTAGTTTACTTTGTAACTATTCAAATCTCAAGTTTGGCATCTCCGGTTTCCAAGCTCCAACAATGAAAGTGCAACAAGGAGGTGGGGGAGCGGGTAGGGTGACTTTTTGTCACTCTAGGCTTTGCACAGTTAATTCGCAAACCCTAATTCATAAACTGACTTACCACTTCGACGTCGATGTCATAACATGTCGTCTTCTTTTCCCCTTTGCTGCAAAATGGCGAGAATAATACAGTGAAGGTAATTACAAAAAAACCTGGCATCAGTGGAGCCTGTTCAACCTACTTTATAAAATACAATGTAACATGTATATAACGCGTGTTCTTATTGGTCGAAGCACTTGTTTGGATCAGGCCATACAAACACGGAAATTTAACTATGCATAGAAATAACTTCTTGTGCTGTAACTGTTCCACCAAAAGTTACCATTTTCATTCACATTAATTAATTACAGTGACGAGTCATTTACCTGATTAAATGTCTAATCACAATTGGATCTGGTGGATAAAGCAAAGCGCTGAGGCGTTGGGGAATTTCGTTAAATTTCATTCGAGGGCACTCGAATATCTGTAAACGAATTTAAATTAGAACAACTGAGTAAGCATGGTGATTTGTGTATTCATGGATGTGCATATAATTTATGCCCAGTGTTGTGATATGCCAAATATTTCTTAGTTAGCTGCATAAGCCGGCTATAGCTTAAGCTTAAAAAATCTTAGAAAACGTATGTATAGGAGATCTCTTATCTCTTTTGCGTGTGAGGCGGTTCAATTTGACAATTTAGTTTGACAATTTGGTCATTTAACGAACGTACAAATGATTCATCTTATTCCGCTTAACCATATCCGACTGACTCACCTGTTGAAAGTAGACGTCATTATTAATACACTCTCTTTCGTTAGGATCTTGCAAGCTATGAGTCTAAAAGAAAAAAACAAGGTATGTAACGAGAGAACCTTTTCAAAGAGAACCTTTTCAAACGATGTTTTTTAGACAAGACACTCTACACGTTACACAGAGAACCTTTTCAAACAAAATTTTGTTTTTCAATAGGTTGTGCAATACAATTTTATTACCAGTAGCAGGAGCGCAATCAATTTTTACCTTGATATATTGCCATAAAGCATTGATGATAACTGGTCTTGTCTGAGTGTGAATACCAAGTAGCCGAGCCAAACGAGGATCCAGTTTATATTGTGCAGGTTGGTAATCTAATAGAAGCATAATTGTACATTTCACTTTGTCTTCCCCAGGCCTTTTCACCTGAAAACCATCCGTTTCTTGCGTCTTATCTGTTCTGTGCCACTAAAAGTGTTCAGAAATCGTCAGTTGTAAAATGGCTTGTTCTAGGCTTTGTGAAATGTTAAAAACAAGACAGCCCAGATGTGTATTTGTCCAGTTTCAAATTGCGGTCTGTGAAGCTTCATTGATTGTGGGACCTTATGGCTCATCGTATTATTAAGCAACATGCAAACACAATCAACGTGGGTGCGCCATGGACCGCAATATGAACGCAGATAGGGAGTTGCACGGGGAGTGAAAACCACTAGTAATAAGGAAATCAGGAGATTATTTTGTTTTAAATTATTAGTTCTCGAACATGACAGGAAATTTACCTCGACAAGATGATTATCTGGACCATAAAGATCTTTGTCTAGCTCTATCACCAAACTTCGGAAAAACGATGAAAATTTTCTCTTTGGTTTTGCAACCTCCGGTTTTGTTCCTTGCTACGAACAAATAAAAAATATGTGTACATCTACACAAGCCAAGCCTATATAATATTCACTTCAACCATGTCTACACGTACGTCGTCCATAAGCTTTCCTTCTACACGAAGTTCCCAGGATGGTACAATTGAGTCCTCATCCTAAAAAAAAAACGAACAGTATAAAAACACGCAGCAGGAAAACGGGTGACCACTTTTGGATGCCCAAATTAACCAGCATACGAGTCTGGCCCGTTTTTATGTGTGGATAATTCTGTAAATACACTGAACATGCGCAAAAAACGACCGAAGTAACTGTGGATTGTATATCTACGACTGTGCTTTTAGGTAAAAGCATCCACAGATAACACTTCTTTTTAACTTTAAACGGCAAAATATATGCTTAAAATGTTAAGAAAACACGCAGTGAATTAATTTGTACTTGTGAAAATGTGCGATAGAAAATAAAATTTCTGTGAAATACCTCTGCATCAGGTCGAGCACCGTAAAAATGTGTGGTGAGAAATACTCTTAATTTGCGTTTTTGCTAAATACAAAAAGAGATTTCGAGGAATTATATACAAATATTGCGAACTGGTAAATCAGTGTAATTTGCAATAATAGTATGTATGTAGTCATGGTACGGTACTTTAACTGGTCGTTTCAAAGCTTCTTGGATATCCAGTCTTTTTCTCATTATCGTGGAGTCCAATTTACGTTCAAACGCTAATAAATCCATATACGCTTGGGATTCTGGCACCAGTTCTCGAACCTAAAAACATGCACAGTAAGGATGTTTGCACCACAAAATCAAAGTTTGCAAATTTTGCATAGTTTAAAATTCAATCATTATCTGACCAAATGTGGTAACAATTTATGTAGATGATACAAATTTGCCAACTTTTCAAAGCTGTATTTTGTGACATAGTTTAGAAAAAGTTTAGAACTATACTATTTCCAAAGAATAAAATAGAATGTAAAAAATCTTAAATCTTGCCACCAAAGGCCTAGTTGCTTTGTATGAAAGAGGTTTGTTCATTCCACTTACTCGTTGTGGCAAAACTTTGTCTCCAGCTTTCTTCTTTTTCCTGTACACATAAAGGTAGAGTATTTCCTAATTAATGATGAGAGCAATACTTACAATATGGGCAATATTCACAATATGTAATACTAATAGGCTCTAAAGAGAATAAAGGCTGGCCATTGTAATACCTGAAAGGTTATACAGCAAACAATATCAATTTATTATTTTGATTAGAATTATAGATAGTTTATCTGTCTGAAAAAATAACAAGATCCTAAACCTTTTGAGCAAAGGGCAGTTGTAGCCACACAATTGCAAAAAGCTTGAATAGAAAATTAGCACCTTTTAGAAGGAGGCTTTCATATTGTGTAACACATATATTCATTACTCATGCCTGCTTCATACTTACACACGCCTGTTTGATTTGGGATCAGGACGTTTTCTCTGACCATCTCCCTGAGGTGTTCCAGCGGCATTGTTATAAGGATGACCCGCCATTCTTGCAGCTTGAGGTGGCTGTGTTGCTCCAGCTGGGCGCTAAAGAAGGGAAAACCATTTTAGCCAATCACTAGTTATTAATTTATAGTTATCAATTTCATTTAATTAGGATTAATTTGCAGGTTTCAGAAATCATTCTTTGCTTCAATTAGTATTATTTAATCGAGTACATTCCTATTATATATTTTAAAGTTAATGAAAACAGCACTGTTTGTTGATTATATGTAGTACTAAATTGATGAGTATATTTAAAAAAATGTGAAAAAAATTATATAATGAAGACCCATGCGGGCGGCTAATGATAAACTGACACCTTAATTCAAACAGCCTTGGAGGTGTGCAGTGCCAGTGTGGAAAGTAGTCAAAGTGCATAACAGCTGCATCACAGAACCATAGGTGCAACCGAGCTATCAAGCGCCTTCAATTCTGATGTCTCCCAGTAACTTACTACTTACTAGAAACTATATTTTAATTCTAATTTGCACACTTTCCAGTCAGGGGGCTGTGGCTATGGCTATGCTACTTTGAGAAGATGATTTTTGCCACATGAACCACATGATTTTAGCCACACAATATTAAATTATAATGATAATGGATAAACCACATGATTTTAGTTGAAGATTTTATTTTTATTGTATTGGTCTTATCAACACTTTAGAGAATATATAGAGTCCACAGAAACTGTCAACTTTGTTTTGCAAAACTGAAAATTCTTCTTACATTCATATTCAATATTCTCTAAAGTGTTGATAAGACCAATACAATAAAATCTTCAGCTAAAATCATGTGGTTTATCCATTTGACAATCATCCCTAGCCCCCACGCCTCTCATCGGACTCATCCGATCTTTACACTATTGCTTCCTTTCAACATTCATTTCGGACCCACTCACCGCCTGGAAATGACCTTGACTAAACTGTTGAGGTCTTTGAGACATCATTTGTTGTTGAACAACGGCAATATTTCCAGCCATTCCAGGCAAATTACCAAAACGTGAAGCCGCCATATTGTTTTTTGTTAGGAAACTGCATGAGCTCTTCCCCCCCTGCGAACTGAAAAATCGAAATATTATATATAATTATATACACCAACAGTGGCGTAGCCAGCCTGACGATTTAGTCATGCTATGCAAATTTTATGTTATTATCATTATTCATTTCTTTAGAAATTCATTGTTTTCACAGTCAATGAACACCAAAATATTAGCATAGCATGACTAAATTGTCGGGCTGGCTACGCTACTGTACACCAATATATACACCCCTTTTCGAAATTCGCTGAGTTGCGCCGTGCGAATTCGATTTTTTATTATTCTTTTTTACTCTTCATAACCTTTTTCAATTTGTTACTGCTCTATTTCTACGTTTTTTATTGTACAATTTCTTAGAATTTATAATTAGACGAAATTGGTTTCCCCCCCCTTATTGATGCAATTCTTTTGTCGTCATTAGTTTCATTTGGGTATTTTGGTAACTACGCTGCCGAAGAACAATATTCATCATTGTCCAGCTGTTTCATAACTTTGACAATATTCATAAGGAGCTAAAAGCGTATAAATAATGAAATAAAGTCGTCAACAATGGCAAAAGCATTTCAAAGTTTTCTTCTTGTGTGTTTTTTGGCACAGGTAAAATGCCTATCATGTTTAATAAGAATAATAACATTCGGATATTTCAATTTGGTAGTCAATCAAATTCCATAAAGCACTAGAAAAGCGCCATAAATGACCAAGAGAATAAACTTCCTTGTCGAAATTCAATTTCAATCATTTAGGTATTTATCGGTATAACTAACGTTGCTTTATTGTATAATTCTTTTTAAACTGAAATGTTAGTCAAAGTTTTAATATATGTATATAAGTGGTAAGTCAGTTAAGATTCTATGGCAGTACACGCGATGTAGGATGATTTCTAAAGGGCTTATGGGTCTTAATTTTGAGTGGAAAATGAGAAAAATAAACTATCAGTCCTCCGACAGGAATTGAACTAGCACCCTTGCCACTGAGCTACAGCGGTAGCTACTAGCTAGCTGTCTTACCACTGAACTACAGAGGTAGTTAACTGAACTACAGAGGTAGTTAGCTGTCTTACCACTGAACTAAAGATGTAGCTAGCTGACTTGCCATTGGCAGTTGACAGCTAGTGTACCTCTGTAGTCCAGTTCCAAGATCATTGCACTGGTATTGCAAAGGTGTAGGTTAGATCATCACCTTTTATGACATTTTAATTCACCTAACTCTTTAAATTAAAAGTGAGGTTTATTATTGTTTATAGGCTTATGCATATAGAAATTGTCGAATCTACCACGATCATGGAAATAAATATACTGAATTGAAGTAAGTGGCACTAAGACACCTGTCAGAGAATACATATAAAAAATGAAAGATGATGTTTTATCTTAATAAAAATCTACTCAAGAGTAAATGCAATATTTTTTCAAGCTTTAAAAATACATTACCTCTTTAAATGACCTGGTATTTTAACTGTGTTCAAGGGCATTAAGTCAAAATGAATAAGATAGTCTGCCCCAAATTGGGCACAATTCTCTTAATAGAATAGAAAAACTTGCTATGACTACAAGTAAAAATTTGCTATGACTACAAGTTTTCCGGGTTAAATATTTGCTTATGTACTACATTTTTTTATTATCCTTTTTTCACACCGCATCTTCATATCAAAGCTGCATACATATATTCACTATTTTTGGTTTGCAATGTTCACAACAATTTCAGAACCCAAAAGCAGAAACAATTTGTACCTATGCTGTTATGCTGCTATGAACTAATCCTCAAATAGGCTTGTGTTTGGATTAGATTCAACTTTGCAGTGGCTTAAGCAAAAGACAGATGGGTAGTAGGCCTGATGTTTTTGTATAGCAGGTTACCGGTGTCAGCATGTTATACTTGATATTGTATAGCCATGGTAATTCTAAAGTTCCCTTTTCTTGGAATGCATCTGGTCATCCTATCATGTTAGGAACCTGATTGCGATTACGACGATTCGCAATCAAAGAGAGATCTTTTAATCTAAAAATTCAAGTTTTTCCCCCCTTTTTGATCTGTTCACAATTACATTAGTAATTTATCATATAATTCTCTTGATTCTACTAAACTATGTAGATGCTCAAGCTCTGAGTATTGCTGTGACCATGGTTGTTGTCGTAAAGTTTACACCATCTGGTATTTTTGGTATGTTATTGTCTTATGTATGTTATTATTCATATTTCCTTAATCTATAGCTATTGGAATAAGTTTATTAATAGAACTAATTTAGAATGCCTGATGCCTCATTAAATTACTAATTAGAATTCCTAATGTTGAAACCCATCAATACTTCCAAACATCATTGCAATGAGGTCACATGCAATTTAATATCATTTTTATAGGACATTGCTTTTGTTTGGTTTATTTGTTGGAATAATTTTTTGCTGGTGGTACAAAGCATATAAACATCGACAACGTACAACTATTGTTCAACGCAATGTTATCCCAATGCATGTTGTAAATCCATATCCACCTTCCCATCCACCTATACATGGGGGCAACTCACAGGCAGTACCTGGCTACCCAGCATATGCCTCATATGCCTTCGCCCCTCCTCCATATTCAGTGGCCATGAACCAACCAACAGCCCCACCACCAAACTATTTTCCACCAAACCAGGCACCAAAAAACCAGTAATTTACAGGGGAAGACATTGAACATTATCTAGAGTTATTTTAAAGATATAATTGCACTTGTTAATGTTGAACATTTAATCGGTGCTGGGCACTCACTGGTTTGACTGTAAAATATTTTATGCAAAAAAATTTTTCTCACTGTTTGACATTTTCCCCACCGAATTATTTCAACTATTATTCTTAATGCTGCGCCATTACGAACAAACAATGAGTTTGTGGGCTTTCCATCTAATCAGTATGATTTAGTATTCAGTTTGCATCAAGAATTGTAGTATTCAGTTTGCATCAGGAATAGTAGTATTCTATTGCAAATGTAGCAGGCAACATTTGCAATGCTAGTGTGTGAGCAAGGTCTAATTTAAAAAGGAGCATTAATACCTTCAGGTTGACATTCAGTTATCACACAGAAATGGGTTTCAAGATTAAAATGTTAGTGATGACTTCTACAGAGTAAACACAACCTAAAAGTCTCTAATGCCAGATTATCAAAATATTCTTACCTCTTATTAATCAATACCATGACTTCTATTCCAGTGCAACTTTTTTATCTCTCCTAAATATCTTATGTAACACATAAACGTCTTATGTAACACTGTAAATAAATGAAGTAAAAAACTATGATCTATATGACTATATCTTCAATCAACTTTTCAACTGAACTGCCTAACTTGAAAACAGGCCTCACAGACATACCAAGATTACAGAAAAGATGGCAGGCAACTATTCTAGCAAGATGCATAGCATAAAACCAGAATATCATATACTTCACAACAACCTTTAAAAATAATAATGGACTCAAAGACAACAATAATATTAATTATCATTTATTCTGATTTTAAATTCTCTCATTCATTTCCAATCCCACTGTCTAAACCTTATTAAAAGCAGCTATATCCATGGACTGTATATGATCTTCAAACTTGGTGATTTCTTCTTCAAGATCATCTGTGCTAATTTTGTCATCTTCAACAACACAGGATATTTGCAGTTTCCTTATTCCATATGCAAGAGGAACAAGTTTGCTTGCACCCCACAGTAAACCATCTTTACTAATGCTTCGAACCAATCGTTCAACCTCAACCATGTCTAGGAAAAAAGAAATACCCTGACAGTGAATTAAAAATTTAATAGGTAATTATATATTGCAATAACTTCCAGCTATATTCTTGTATGGAATAAAATTAGCCTAGGTTGATTGACTACAGGGCTAGCCATACTTTCAACAATGGAAGGTTAGAAAACCAAAACATCTTAATCTTATTGGGAATAATCAAAACTGAAATTCTTTTTCCTCGGATTTAATACAGTACTTTGCTGCTCTCTGAGATTCTTTTCACAAATATGATATGGCCTTACATTTGTAAGTATTCACAAAGGGTTTTAAAGCAAGTTCTTGTTATCATTTTGCCATATTTACCAGATCAAAATTTACTGGGAAAATGATGTACAGAGGAGGTAGATGTACCATTTTGAAAAAAAGGGACGTTGCAAGTGAAATGCTTCAAGAAACACTGTTTCAATTTTTCTGCTAAAAATCTTCTCCATAATTTCAAAGCTTTCTAAAGTTATAATTATTTGCAGCATGCTCCATCTCATTACTCAGTGGGGTACGTTATCATATCATATATCATTGTAAACAATTGTATGTATAACTTATTTGTCCAGATTTTCAACTTTTTACCTGTTTCATCATCCCAAGGTTTCACATCAAGTAGGATGTTTGATTTTGCAACAACTTTAGGCTCTGAAACCAATTATATCATGAGTGAGGACACCTTAATCCAGGCAAAATGTAGAGAAACTTGTCCTTGCATATAACTTATGTGTGATGTCATGATCATACATAAAGGTTATACATTTCTTGAATATGGAATAAAATGAGCCTGTTTTCAACAGAAGCTATTGTGAATATACACTCTTTCAATGGGAATCCAATCATGCATGATGGTTTTGAAATATTATATCAATGTTAGAAGAACAATACTTTTCGCCTTTTTTTCATTGTATGCAGCAATTCGTTCTTGTTTCAATTTTTCTGCAGCTGCCTAGAATTACACAAAAAAGTATGTCGAAAGTTTGAAACTCAGCATCAAACTAAAAAATAATGTTTTTTACAAGTAATTTCATGTAAAACTAATATGCAATAGCAACACTAAAATTACTCATTATTCTTTCTTGTACCCATACAATTCACTTTTTGTGGGTAGCCCGTTCGCGGGCCAACCACTATGCTATACGCAAAAAACGATGAGCGATGATGCATGTCTGTTCCCGAGTTTGTTTATCTACGATTTCAAGAGACTGGGCAGAGCCGAAATTTTGTCAGTCTGATCAGTGTAAACTGGCCTAAACTTTCAGATAAATGAATCGCAGAAATGGTATTTCATTGGTATTTCATGGATTATTCTTATGTCTACTTTGTTATAACTGTACCCAACTAGCAAACTAGCCCATTTTTGCCTTTGCCGATGCAGTTGATTTACCCGCCATTATTGCGGCCTGTCATTTGACATTGAACAAAACTTGAAAATCTTTGCCAATGCTTTGGAGGCTACCCACATGTATGCATTGCATACCTATTTTTTATTTAGCTGGTATCCATCCAGCTTGCATCACTACCCAGCCCACCATTAGTGAAATGGTATATGAGCTATCCTAATGTTCAAATGATTCCTGGTTGTTCAGTACTATTAAACACACAAGAAACAAGTAACTAGTAAATCAATCTGTACTTTTCAAATACCTTTTCTTCTTCATTGTCACTCCCAAAAAGATCATCATCGTCATCATCATCATCATCATCATCTGCAGCATTTGATGGTTTTGCTTCAGTTGCAGGAGGACCATAGGCTGACAAGGGTTTCTTTGCTCCATTAAAACCGGCAGTATCATTGCCATATGATAATATGTGATTGTACCATCTCAAAGCATGAGCAAGGTCAGCAGAAGGTGCACCACCAACAGCTTGGAAAACTACAACATCTGCTTGAGATGGCTCATACCTATGAATATAACAAGCTTTACTTATCAGTTATTCAACACCCAATATTTCTACATTTTTTTAAGGTTGTGTAACTTAATCTGGTTGTATAACTTTGTTAATGTAATACAGTCAATTGTATTGTTCCAGTGTTGAATCTTGAAAAACAACAAAGGAATAGTACTGAATTGGCCAATCATATGACCATTTGTCAGAACATAGCGTTATAATTAGCTATGTATAATTATCTATAATTATCTATAATTACAATAGCGTTTTCTTTTTCAATTTCAGATATTTTGTGTTAATTATTATTTTAATCATACAAAATAATAAACATATGAGAATATTTTACACCTTGTACAATTGTAGCAACATAAATGATGAAATGTACAAAAATTGCGGGGGGGGGGGTTAATGTCGCCACATGGGGACATGACCTACACGTGTATTACTTTGGTACACACCAGATTACACAAAACGAAATCACCAGTAAAAACTAAAAAATCTGATGATATCTATTGGCAATATTCACCCTTCAATGTAGCTTTTATCAGCAAGGTAGTTATTTAAGGACTGTTGACCGGCTTTTGCTTTCAAATCACCAAAACCCATCGTGATATTGAGAGAACTTCTAACTTTGATTCAGAATCTTCAAGAGGACGAAAAATTCATTTCCTTTCCCATAAGGCATTTCGGCCCGAACTCCATGAACTGATCTCAGAACTATATAGATTCTGGACGACGCAGATCTAACAATGTGGAGAAAGGTATTATATTGTTCAGACATTTTTTAGACCAAAACACAGTAGGAAATTATCAACGTAATAAAGAGTACGGAAAATCGAAAATAAAAGGTATAGACTCGTCACACACATACACTGAGGACAAAACATTTAAAATGGTTCTCCTTGCTAAAATTAATTGTTATTAATTACGCAGGATGTAAAGGTTTATATTGCGAACAAAAACAATTACCCAGTTAGTACAGAGTAGTAGTACTAAGTGTGAGAGGTTTGGGTCAGAAGAAGAGGCTCTGGCCTCTGGGTTTGAAATAGACCGCCGAACAAAAAATGTCGACCGGTGCGAAGGAGACGGCTATACAAAAGAATTTTAAAGTCGTCCTGCGGAAGCCATATCACCAGTGTACAGGAGGAAAAAGATTTATAGGACAACAAATGCGGTTTATTGTTTTATCAAACGAAAGGCACGTTGCCACCGGGGAGAGAGGGAGGGGGGCTGAGGGTCTTAAGCCCACCCACTTCAGTTTACCCAAGATAATTTTTTTCTACCATTTCTTACACTCGCGGCAAAGTCAGACACCGGGGCGAACTGAGACACGACACTGCCTCTTATACGTAATTTTAGTCTAATTTTTATTTTTTTAGTCTATATATAATAATTTTAGTATGTGGCAACAGTTTCGCATTATAACTCCTCCCTCGCCTTTTCTCAAAAAACAATAATGTCTTCTTAGAGACATGGTATATTATTTACCCTAAGCCCTGTATTTGGTTAATTCTAAGTTCTGGAGGTGCATTTTTTTTAAGGTCTAATTATTAAAATCTTCTTGCGCGTTGCTTAACTATCGGAAGGTGAAATGTCGAGAGAGGCCAAAAATAGGAATGGACTTTGTTTATACGCTTCTTTATAAGCAATAGTACATTTACTTTATCATACATTATTTATTATTTATATCTGCGTTACTGTATTTTTACGGTATGTGAATGTACATGCATTAACTATATCATATCCTTAGCTTCCCCCTATTTTCCAATCATTCCCTAATCGTCTACGATATATCTAGTGTTTGCGGGGAAAATATCCCGTGTTTTGTGTGCTAGCTCATATATCGCCATGAGGATTCAAATTCGTCTGGTGCACAAACACCATCTTATGCCTGGTATTAATTTAGTCGTAACTCGTGAGTGTCAGTGAACATGCCAAGGCGGCTGATGTGATATGTGATGTGAATATTTCTATTTTCTATGTGTGTACAGCAGTGAACAACTGATAACCGATTTGAATACAGAAATAAAGACAAATTTGCACCCTGACTATCTCTCATCGGTGAAAATGACTTGTTCATGACAATTTACGACTAATATGACTTAATATATGACTCAATTTGACCAGGCTTTACAATGGAAGTCTAGTTAATATGTATTGTCTTCCCCAACCACGTTTGTGTTGTTGCATTCTCTGATGAGGAACAGGTGTGAACGGGATTTACGCATTTGTAATTTCCAAAGCTGTCCTCCATTTCTTCACCGGAACAGCTCTTAATTCCAGAAATATTCTTTCCACATTCTTTACTTGTTTTATCACCATCAAAATGTAGTGGTAGCTCATTCGATTGCACCATGTAGGCATCACAATCTTCGCAACCTTCATTATGAATCCGAAAACTTTTTACCTTGACACAGCCACCTTGGTCGTTGTCATCAAACAATTTGAAAAGAGGCACATGTCCCGTTCGAGCGCGAACATAATCACTGCCCATTACTGCCCCTTCTTTTTCATAGTTGCAAGAAATCCTCCATTTGGAAGAAATCTGATGAATATAAGCCATTCGTGCGTATGAGAGTCGATAGTCGGCCCACGAGAAACTATCCTCATTTCTTGGATTATTTTTTATAAAAGGGGTCGCAAATTTATCTTTGTTCTTTAGACTGAAGGACTGTACCAGCGTCCAAGAGGTCACGGCCGTGTTGCCTTTATAACTGAAGTCACAAAACACTCGATACGGTTCATTATTTATATCAAAAATTGTGTAGGTACCTGAGGTGCTGTTATGCCCATTATTGTGATCATGACATGAAATTTTCAGTGTTTTTTCACAGAACTGTCCTCCGTAACCTGGTTTGCATTTGCAAGTGTAACGCTGATCCTGGAACCAAGCTGGCACGCATGTCCCTCCATTGAAGCATGGCTTTGAAGTTAGACAACAATTAATATCTGGTACACACTGATTGTGGCTGCATTGTTCTGCATGAATCTACGGTTGCAGAAAAAAACATGTATGTGTGAGAAAAAAGTACAATGCATTTGGAATTTCTTTCATAAAAATGTCATAAGCATCGATGTTTTTATATAAGGCATTTTACAAACTAGTCAGTTAGGTTTATCAATGTCCTCTTTTCAAGACCCTTACCCCATAACCTTACCTAATTCAACGCCGTATAGTGGGTAACTTATTAATGGGCTTTTGGGGACAGTCTGAATACCTTAGTTCCCGGTATCAAGAGAGAATAAATCTCAACATGAGCTAGCTATATTCAGTGCAATTTATACCTTTGCTATAGCGGCTTTATGCTCAAACTCCACGTATACACAATCTTCGCTATCTTGATATGAAGATTCTTTCAACATTTTTTTTTTCGACGACAGAAGTTGACATTTTTGAGCGGCAGGACAAATTTGAAATGAAAGGCAGCGACAGTCTGCCAGACAAAGCTCAAGACATTTTTGGGGATTTACAGACGTAATGTTTTGGTAAATGTCAGCAGCAAGAACTTTGTTAGGATATGTGTGGACAATTACATTCCCTGCTTCTGTTACTTGTAGTTGTAAAGTCAGAATTACAAGAATATTCAGTCGTTGAAAGAGCCCAAACCTATGAAAAAAATTGCCAGTAGAGGCAGTAGAAAATCAATTAACTATAGCTCAATTCATTTTTCAACAGTTTTTTAATGTTATTCATATATTGAAAAATATAAGGGCTTGCTTGAATTCAAAAGTCTAACTAGAGTGTCGATCTTATAGGTTTGGAAAACCTGCATCAGTGTATTAATGAAAACTCGAATAAATACAAGTAGATAAGTATGAATACTTTCAGGCATGTTCCATACGAAAAAAAGTCGACAATATATGGTCTTCATCAGCCAATGCATGCATGCAGTGCTGTTAACTAAAGACCCCCCAAAAACACCTGCATGCATGTAATCATTTAGGTAAGTGCATGCAATCATTTAGGTAAGTGCTATGCATGCAGACTCGCCTCCCGATGCGAAAAGACCAGCATGAATTTTGTCTTTCCAAGGCAAAGTGTTTGCACTCACTGTGCTCCTAAGCTAATGAAGCGTATCTTATAAAGCAACTATACGTGCCTGCATGTGAAAATATGATACTGTAAACTATACGTATAATTTGAAGTTTGATATTTTTAATTGAAATTAGGTATGCGAAACTTAGATCTCAGCCAATCCGTATGTTACTTTTTCCCCTCGTTTCAAGAAAGATTTTGTAACGGTGTGGAAAGTTAATTGGTAAAAGGTTTTTTAACAGATAAACAAGTAAACATGCACTTTTGAACAAAGCATATAATTTTGTTAATGCAACGATTAGCTATTACTCATTTAGACAAGCAGTAATCCATTTTTGAGGATGACTTTGATGCTGAGATGTACTGCGAGCGTTTTTGCAATGACAATGTATAAGTTGGCGCCTGTTTTTTAAATGAACTGAGGTCTGAGCCTCTGAGGGATGAATCAGTTGTGTATGCGTGAATATCATTTGTTCAACGCATTTGTCACATGAGGAGTTGGGGATTTCAAACCAGCTTCCTGCTCGTTTGGAACAAAAACACCGTCTACATGTATATAAACACTCTTAAGTCTGAACTGATCTTCAGTCCATATGATACCTAGACAAATATTCTTAATCTACCTACTTTTTCTTCCGTTTAGAATCGTTCGCCCAAACGTCAAAGCAGCTGTGCATATGCTGTCACTATCGCAAAAACACTCACATGCATGCATGCAATTTCCTCAAGGCTATATGGTCTTAAATTGCGATAAAAGCATGAGAATATATTACCTCGACATTTTCTCTTTTCTCAGCTTATTTTTCCTCTCTGTACTGAAATAAATTTTAATTTTTCGGATAAATTCTTGTCTTATACCACCATACGATGTCATACCGAATGCAATTATAGATGCAGGTAGGCTTATGTCGCAGTCTATAAAGACTATGTAATTAAGCTAGCCATCATTAAAAATATATGAAAGTGATAAAATGCTTTTTTGTTTATTTAAAATATAAAGCGTAGCTACATTGTATATGGCATAGCTCAAGAAGAATTTTTTTATCCTTTTTAATTTAACTAAAAAATCGTTTTTATCTATAGTCATCGTTTGAGTGATGCTTTGTCCACACGATCCAAGATGCTGAATATGTTAAATTAGCTTCAACTTCTATAGTAAATTACTCTATTCTTGTTTGAATGTATTACATGTATATATGAAGCGATCATCAGGCTAATGACAGGTTGTCTGGTTGTTATTCTCTATATTTACATCGTGATGTTGTTATTCTCTATTATATATATATATATATATATATATATATATATATATATATATATATATATAAAATTTTCCTTGCGCCCTATACCTCCATAACAACAGAGTTTGTGCTAGTGCCATGATAGATGAAGCTCGTACTCTATAAAGGATAGTTTCGTGTGTTTCTGATTATTGCAAAAATTATATAGACCGTTGGAAGGTTTTAAAATTTTACGCGTGTGCATAATTATACTCCCGAACATCATACGAGACCGGCAGCGCGGAGATCGGAATCGATGTATAATTCCATGCATGCATGATGCATTGAATTGATTGAAAACGATGAAAATTATCATTATTTGCCTGTTTACGGTAATAAGATCTAGTACATCCAAACCAAGTGTCATTTGTGAAGAAGATTTTTTAAGACATTCAACGCTTCCCCTCTAAGCAGTGGTCTTTTCCAGAAGAAGATAATGGAATTTGCACTTGCATTTAGCGCCGCCACTGTCATGCTCCAATTAAGGGATGCCTTGAGTGCCACAGGATCGTCTTTGTAGTACGAGTAACAAGCAAGTGAAGGAACATAAGAGAGATAACTGATAACGACCACAAGCAAGCAGGATTTGGCAAGTTTCTTCTCTCTTAACGCCCTTTTTTTGTTTAAATCTGACGGGGTTTGTTCTATGGAGCAATCGCCGATTCCATCCCGGCCTGAGAAATGCATGTTTTTCACCGCGAGGAATATTTTTGTGTATGCAAAAGTTGTAAAGAGCAAAATTGACAACACAACAGCGATAACGGTTATGCCGTAAACCTCCTCGGCGGTTGTTTGTAGGACCGGGCCAAGGACTACCAAGGTGCATGCACAACAAAAGGCAATCAGAATTCTGTGTTTAGTCAAACGAGAACGATGCGTGACTGGATGTAAGATACTCATGTACCTTTCGAATGTTAACAGATACAGCGTCGCCATCGACAAGGCCGAAACAAGGTATGCAATCGTCTGAGAAACAAAAGTATTGACGCAATCTGCTGTGCCCAAAACCTCACTTGCCCCAATCGAGGTGTACAGCGGTAAGGATATAGATCCGACGGCCATATCAACTGCAGACTGGAGTAGAATGACAAAGTAGCAAAGTTTCGCCTTTAATTGCGAACTTCTTGAGATTGTAGGAATTGAAATGCCGTTCAACACTACAGTAGGAATTATTACAAATGAGTTCGCAATGCAGAAAATAATTCCGTTCCTGACATACTCCGTGGAAGGAAAATGAACCACAATAACAAAAGTAGTCCCACCAAGAGGACAAATTTCTGCAAATTGTTGCGAAACGTTCTTCATTATTTCACTTTAAGTTCTGCATTTGGTACACTACAGATGATTAATATAATACTTTTGAGTTATATATATGCAGAAACAACATTCTGTATTGGACTATTTTAATTTAAAGCGTTGTTTGTGCAGAGTCTGGCGTTTTAATTATTTCTGATCATCGGTTGCGGCAATTTTTGGCAATTATACTTTCCCTCGCAATGAGCAACTAAGGAGGAATTAATTCTGGTCGAATGTATCGAAATATGGTATACTCGTCCATGGCAGAATATACGGAAATATGCCGGTATACTCGACCATGGTCGAATATATTATAGGGTTCAACTTACGCGAAGGCGACATGCAGAAACGTATTACATTTACCTTTGTTATCCATCATATTAACATTTCGCGTACAAGTGTGCTTTCTCACTGTTTTTCTTCGCAAGTTAACAATAAATATGAATAAACATGATATCTATAATAATAGCCTCCAAATTGCCTTTGAACTTAAACAAAAAAGGCAATATAAAACCCAATAGACCTTTTCAGCTTGTATGGAAATTAACCATTTCGAGTCACATGGTCTGAAATGGTTAAAGAAAAGAAAAAATGCACAAAAGCGACTGTCAAGTTTGAAGCATATATCTATTTCTTAATATTTTCCGTTATTGATTTACATCAACATTGGACATTTCTATATAATTTTTTATCGTTCATTTTCTGTCCGTTATATATCTGCTCACTCAGCCATCGACAGATCGCAGCCTTTTTTGATGTCGTTGCTGTTACCATACATATTCTGGAGGCCTTTCCTGTAACCAACATGATTCATTCATCACGAAGGCTCAATATAGTTCCTTTAAATGTCAACAAAGCTCGGTTTTTCCCTGCCTCTCCCACATGTCGACATTGTCCTCAACCTGAAACCCCACCTCATGTGCTCTGCCATTGTCGTTCGCACATCAGTGGTGCATGCAGATCCGAATAGACACGATCGTATCGTTAATGCAAGCCAGATATGAACTCTTTTCTTACATGTTTTATCAGCCAATGCAGTTTCTGTTTACGGGTATACATTAACGTGCCAATTGAACCTAAATGGTACGTGATTGTCCATGTCAAATCGAAAATATCAGGCTCAGCTCAGCGTTTTATAAATTAAATTTTGTTGTAAATGCATGCTATATAGTACTGAAGGTTTTTGACTTCTCGATCGAGTACTTTAATCCACTGCAATGGATGGGAGTTGATGGGAGTAAAAAAAAAATTAAACAAAAGCGACTGTCAAGTTTGAAGCATATATCTATTTCTTAATATTTTCCCTTATTGATTTACATCAACATTGGACATTTCCATATAATTTTTATCGTTCATTTTCTGTCCGTTATATATCTGTTTACTCGGCCATCGACAGATCGCAGCCTTTTTTGATGTCGTTGCTGTTACCATACATCTTCTGGAGGCCTTTCCTGTAACCAACATGAAGGTCGTGAGCTTGCAAGAAATCACCACCACCATTCACCTCAGTCGAACCACAGACGTGAGCGTAGCCGAACACTTTTGGCATTCCCGGAACAATATCACCCTTGGAGATGAACCTCAATGTGCGATCACAACCAACATTCTTCTTGTAATAGTTGACGAAATCCGAATTGCCGACCAATGGAGCGCCGTAAGTTACCACGGCATCAGGACGACGGTTCAACTTTCCAGCGGCGTACGCTGCAGCAATCGTAGCTTCAGCTCCGCCAAGACTGTGACCAGTAAGGACGATAGTATAATCAGTTTCGATTGCCTTGCGATACTCTTCTTCAAACCAACTCGCGATGTTGTTGTATCGGTCAAAGAATCCTTTGTGTGTCTTGAAGGTCGTTCCGCCGACGGTTAATGTTTTAGGTTGGAAATCGATGTTCTTGAACCAATCGCTTAAGCTTGTTGCCTCTGTCCCGCGGAAACCGAAAACAATCAACCGCTGTCCATTATTCACAAACTTCAGTACTTCGGTGTCGCTTCTCACGTGACTCGATGCGGTCCATCCGGCCTGACTGCAAGCGGGTTTGTCGTAGGGTGCTTCATATTTCGGCAGCAACAGCAATGCTTTCCCAGCTCCACGACCGTAGCTTTTTAACACAACTCCTACCCCACGATTGTATCTAAATAAACCCAGTAAGATAAGCGTGCCAGGCAAGGGGAAGGCAGCCGCAAACCTTTCCCAAATTAGGTCAATTTCTTCGATTCTTCAAGGGAATACCCCGGCAAAATGGTGGTGTCCTGGTGGCAAAGAAAATCTTTGGGACCCGGGGCAAAATTCCATTTCCGGTTTTACCGGCTTAAATTATTTAAAAAGCCATATATGTTATTGCTTACCTATATGGAAAGGACTACCTTCAAAAATTAGGTATTTCTGTTGCATTTCTTTGGGGGGGGGGTCAAACCTGCACCACGGGGAAAATTGCTCCCTTTGCCCTACACCCCGTCACGTCGTTACCTACCTCGGCCTGACAATAGCATGAGGATCTCTTCTGCACGTGCAGCCATCGTTGCTGTAACCGCTGGGACACTTGGAACATCCTCTTTTGAACGTCAAACCACAGATATCGTACCATGGGCATGCGCTGTTGTCGGAACCAAATATGTGAGCATCGCGGAAACACGTGAGACCATCGTTTCTGTAGCCACTGGGGCAATTCCCGTAGCAATTAAATGCTCCTTTATGTGGTTTGTCTTTGGGACAGTGTCGGTAGCAGAGAGCTGCCTATTATTGCAGAGTTGTACTTAGTAGAGACAAATTGAGCGTGAAAACTTATGACTATCATTAAAAGAATAAATGTTCCTACCAATATAATCTAGATGACTAGATTGTCTTGTTTTATTTACTAATTCGCTAGAATGTGTAATAATAAACTAATAAAAAGCCTGATATATTAAAATTCTAGGGCCAAAAGGAGAAAGACGATTTTGCTCGTGGACTTTTCATATATATAAACATGGTGCAAACTCTCAATAAAAGCTGATACTATAAAATTATGATAGAATTCACTATTAACTATTTATTAATCACTATTCACTATTCACTATAGAATTCTTATTTAGCATCGTGGAAATCACTCATTGAAGATTAATTTTAAACCGTTGGTAATCACGGTAGCGTTTTCGCAAGCTTATAACTGGTGCTATCGATTTGTCAACTTTTGTTTAACTGTGGTTTAATGTTGGTTTTTATCAGAAGTAAATACATCATTATTATAAAAACTATCGATGTTTATATAAAAACAAGCGATAACATACTTCCTCAGAAGGATGACTTGTCGGACATCCCCAACAAACCGGGCCAACGCCATTGGCCCACGCCCAGCCACTTCGCTTCTGACATGGCTGATAGCAAATCAGACCGTCCATTTCAGGATAACCGTGCGGGCACCGAGCACCGAACCTGGTCGAGGAAGGGTTCTCGGTGATTTTTCCGTTTTGCAGGTACTTTGAACCACTGATCGGCATATACGTCGCCTTTGACACCGCATGAGAAAGCTGGATGAATTTTTTGGCATCATTGGCCTCAGAGCCAACTGCCAAGACAGACAAGGCTACGAAAATCGCGAACATCTTTGCGAGAAAATTGAGTTTATTCTTTAGTAATCAGATTGCACTTTCGTGAGCAAAGCTCTGATATAAGATACTGCGCTCTCTCGTCCGCTTTTATACCCTTCTCGTTGATGATAAGCAAACATGAGTCTTAATTGGTCCGAGATTACTAATTGCTAAAAATTATATTTTCATTATGAATGTGTAAGAATAAGTTTAAAATTGGGTTAGAATTCATTAAAAAATGCGATCAAAGCTTTCCGAGCTCACTTGCATGCGATTTCAATAAGCTGTAATTTTGATTAATTTTTGCATTTGTAAAGCTCTACATAAACCTAACTTGAGTTTGAGAGTTTCAATAAATAGGAGGCATATGAAGCATGTATATTTCTGCGTATGGTTGGGGGGGGGGAGTGTAAACTGGGAGAAGTTCCAGCTTACACTCACCCCCCCAACCATTCCTATATATATATCATATACCGTCTGAATGCCGCACATTCGGGGAGTTTCATGATTGTGCTTCACTAAGGGATGAATTTCTGTATGTTTCAACTTGAGATTTAGAAGAAATGTTTGGGAAGCAGTTGTTATAGGTTGTAACAATCATTTCCCTCATCAATAAACTCGGCTTCAAAAATATTCTCTAAAATTCACAACCCGAAAATGTAGGATCGACCTTTTTCGTGTATGCAAAGTTCAAATGAGTATATTATGGAGAAAGATAGACGTGTTCAAACGAACGGGCCGGTCTGAATGGAGACTATACATTTAATAATTTCGATTTATGCCTTAAACATTGCAATTTTATTTTTTCTCATGAGGAACGTAATTATATACCTTTTCTTGTTTGAGTTTTAAGCCTGTTTAACTTCATTCCGAATATTTCCCGGCGAAGGAAAGGTGGCTTGCCTAGAAACAGGGGCGTACCCCCAGCGGAAAAGAGGAGCATATGCATGTGTCTCCAGGAATTCGCAATTTTAAGGGAAATGCTCTTTTTCGCTAGAATTTCACTTGCTTCGTTTAAAAAATGCGCGAGAACTTCTGAACCCATGCACCCCTGGGGCTTCCTATACTGCGGATATGTAGGCAAGCTCTGAGGCATTTCAATTAAGAGAAATGCATGGGAATACCTGAGAGAAAGCAGAATATCTAAAGTTAGGTATAAGTGAGAATATAAACGCGCGCCCAGGATAATTGACAAAATACAACTGATAATAAAAGGAATTATAGATTCTTGTTGTTGTTTTTTTGCGGTTCTAAGTCACTGAACTCCCTATATATTATTGCAGTCGAAGGGATCGTAGCGATTGCAATTTGTAATGAGGACTGATTATGTTTATCAATATCAATCAAGACTCTTGATTTATGATAAATTCTTTAGATAAATATATGATATAGTTTCTCATTCGAATGATGTTTCGCGGCACATCGTGCATGGACAGTTCGTGGACAGTTCATAACAAACTCGCATCAATTAGATTGAAAGACTCATTTAAAAAACTTCGTAAAGATAAATTGAAAAATTTCCATATTACCCCAACGGGTAAAGAGAGATCTTTTCAAATAACTAACTTGGCAGTTCTGTTTTAGTTGCAATGAAGTTCCAAAAAACATACAGGCAAATGTATGACCAGGAGGAAGGAATCTGTTAATAAATAGTGCTACTAAGATATATAGTATACATATAGATATTTAGCTGTTAAAATATAGAATTTTTACTATTACAGTACTTATGGCATACTGCTATTACAGTCCAGTTATAGTCCTGAAAAACATCATAGAACTTTTTTCCGGCTGTATATATATATAAAAATAATACAGTTTGCAAATTGAAGCGAAACAGACAAAAGGAAATTGTGAAAGTTCATTTAAGCAAATAGTTTTTTCCATCAAATACTCGGCTTTCTAGGCATATAATATATATTATGACAATATTTATTCGGTTAGGTATCGATTATCATAATTTTTGCAACCTTATGAAAAATCGTTCAAATTAAAAGTTAATTAAAACACAGTAAAAAAGCTCGACCGCCGTTATTGCCTCGAGCCCCGAGACTGAATAATTATCTCAGTATCACACCGTCCTCTTGAAGCTGTACTGCTAAAGTATACACATCACTCCAATCCTGTCGTCTTTGAGGTTGCCGATGTCTTCACTGCTCAACCTCGTATAGCCCGTATAATCTACGGCAAAAAGAAATAATATATTATTTCTTCAATAGACATGTCTATTGGTTCTATGCCGATCCACAGTCAGGAGCCATTTTTGTTCTATCATGTACACGTCATACACATATTAAACTGGAAATGCTTCTCTTTGCTAACTCAGTGTTGGGTCAAATTTATAAGTTTACAAGCATTGTCTTGTACCATCAATCGTATCGTTCATAAGAATCTAACCTCCTCCGCAGTCATCTCTGTTGGGGCAATAGATATATTTCTATCAATTAAACTCAGATCAGAAATCGTAAAATGAATTCATCAAAATAATCCTAAAGCAAGGTAGCTATATTTTAAAAAGTCACAAATTTTTCGAACTATTTACGATCGCATCCGTTATAATAGTGATCATGATAAGCGGAATATAGAAATTGAGCTGAGAGAGGGTGGATCACTGAGCTGGGTGGTTGCGCGTGAGCGCTAGTAGCCTAGAAGCCCTGCACTATAAGAGCGCTCCGCATCTAACACTGTGCCAAATTGAGCACGCTGGGATGCATCAAAATAGCTCACTTTTCGCTCAAAATATTTTTGGTATTCGAATTCGGGCACGAACATTATACTCTGTAAAATGAAGCTATAACATGTCTTTAGTTTTACTGCCGATGAGGTAATTAAAGAAGCCTTTGTCAGCTTTACGAAACGAAAAAAAGCCGCTGGTAAAACACGCTGAAGAATGTATCAGTTTTAAAATTCGGGTGACAAAGAAAATGTTTAAGGATAATTGCCTCTTCCCCCACCCCGTAATCGAGGGGCCCCTACCTCCTCCGCAGGCTCTTTTCCAGGGGAGTATGGCAGGCGGTGATATTTTCCGAATTTGCCCGAAATGCTCCCTAGCGCCTGTGGAGGACGTAGGAGGGACCCCGTGATATCTATAGCCCCGCCGCCTTTCCCTTCCTCTGGGCGGCCCTAGTGAACTGTAGTAAAACGATTTTTCTTGAGTTTTTAAATGTTTGAGACAGACGTAGAGAGTAAATATCACGGAACGTCTAAAACTGTGTAAAATACAATTAATTTTATAAAAATTGAACGCGAAACAGAGTCCAGTTTTATTACAGTTCACTGGGCGGCCCTGTCGTAATCGTACTCAGTCGTAGCGTACTCGGCGTTCTCCGTGACGTTCAACCAGTAATTGTACGCCGAATCTCTTGACCATTTAGCACGTTTCTAAACATGGCGGACACAGGTAATTATTTGTACTCTTGCATTTGATTGAATACTATCATCCCCTCATCATTACACTGATCCTGAAAGAGATCCATTGCTACGGGGTGATTTTTTCATCTTCTGGTATGATTTTGTTTCAGGTGGAAAAAAGAAAGGGAAAAAAAAGGGCACGAAAATGCTCCTTACGACCTTTTTGTCGAATGATACCTCGCAAGGCAGTGGGAGTAGCGTTGTATACGCTGCCAAGCCTACTAATTCTACTAGCTGGGCAGACGAAAGTGAAGATCTTCCCGTTCATGGTATGTTCATAGTGGAATTGTACAATATCACGTTATTATAAATATAAATATATTCAGTTTGAAATCTGATACAGTTAGCATCATTGAACATTGAAATCAATATGAAATGGTGAATGAACAAATGGCTCAAAATCTGGCATTATTTATTTGTCATTTTGTAAAACAGGAGGTAAAATGTTCAGTGCTATGTCCATTGTTTACAAATCATGATGATATATTATGCAACACCTTCTTGAAAACTACTTTTTATTTACTTATTAAAATTTATATATTGATACAATATAATTTTTAATTTCATGCTGGAAAATTCTGATCAGATGGATGAGTTTTATACACAATGTGGAATGTTTGCATTTTTCAAGGAAATGCAGATCCTGTGGCTTTTAGTTAATCTATGCATTACATTGTTCAAAACCTGTTGCACACCTGAGGATTGAACTATTGCAAAACAGTTCATTAAACAGTATAACAATCACTATATATGGATTTTAATTGAATATTTTCCTTTCTGTTTGAGGGAAACAATGTGAAAGTGAAAAGGATTTTTAAGGGGATAATAAGCAATGAATCCCTTTCTTCACTTTAAAAAGTTTAGAGATTGTGTAGGCACTTCCCTTATGAGATAATCTGTTCACTTGATATGTTTATGTGCATTGCAATGAAATTGACATCACAACTAGCACAACAAGTTTAGACTTTGCTAGTTAGATCAGGAAATGCTGCACCAAGCACTAGAGGTTTATGGTCTGTTAATGTTCTGAATAGATTTCGGGTGTTGTTAGTTCATCTTCTAATACCACAGATATATCTCGCTTTTTAGTATTCTGCCATGCAAATTACTTGTAAATGACACCCTTATTGAGTTTAAGCCTTCTTGAAGAGTGTCTTACAATTGCTTGCAATGTCATATAATGCAATAATGCCATGCCTTATATAGTAAGGTTTCCGTGATATTAAAAACAGTAATTCAATAATAAAGGTCTTGTTGCATTTATTGAGAATTTTTGTTTGTATATTGTAGGTAGGTGATGAACGTATTTCAAGAGGGATAGTAATTTATATTTGTTATTTAGGAGGCACTTCATGGGCTGATCCCTATCCTCCGCCCCAAGAAGTCCAGCGTATAGTTTTACCCACAGCTCCTAGAGCTGCAAGAGCAGGAGCTGTTGACATGTCTACTCTGCCAAAGGGACCACCATACACCGCATTTCTTGGCAACCTACCATATGATGTTGAAGAAGATGATATTTTCCGCTTTTTTCATAATGTTCAGGTAATAAACATAATTGTTTCTCATAATTGTTTCATCAAAGCTGTGACTTCTGCTCAGCTGTGGGTAACTGTGAGCAAAAAATTGCGATAATTTCAATGATTGCGAAAAATCGCCATAATTTTACAATGTTTTATTAGAAAGAACAATCCTAGTTTAGCCAAGAAGTAGACATCATATAGATACTTATATAGTTTAGGTAATGTTAATGGGCAAATTTATAGTAGTGGTAAACCAATTATAAAACCTCTTATTAAACACTGGACAGTTTAAGTGTTACCCTGGCCAGTATAAATGCACAGTGTCTTGTGTGCAGGCTGTTAAATTAAAGCAAGGTTTCAAGTAAAAAACTCCAGGAAGTTTGCGATGGCTTATAAACTTTGGGTTGTGGTTACAGTAAATACCAGTGGCTTATTGCTTTGCTTATGCCTTAAACAGGTCAAAGATGTTCGCCTACCAAGAGAGTCGGATAACGGCAGACTTAAGGGCTTTGGCTATGCAGAATTTGATGATATAAATGTATTTTTGAATGCTCTACAGTTAGATGACCAGGTATGGTATTATGGTATTATTTTTTCCCCCAAGATCTGCTATAAGTTTTATAGATCAGCCAACTAATGGAACCTTGTCATGTGACCATATGACATGAATACCAAAAGACAAACTGAGAAATGCAACTGCTAAGATTGCTTTTTACAATAGTACTTTTTTTTAGCAGTGAAATGCAATTTTTCTGGGAAATAATTGTGAGATTTTTCTTCAATCCAGACTCTAAAAGGAAGACGTATACGAGTTGATGTTGCTGGACAATCACAAGGAGCTGGTAAGTACTGTACATGCTTCTTTATTGTAATCTTGATTCTTGACTTTCATGCATTGGAGATTCAATATCTGATATCAATATCATGAACATTCCACGCTTTGTTTAGATAAAGAAAAAGAAACTAATAGAGGACGCGATCAACCTTCGGAATCTGATGGAGATTGGCGTGCGGCTCCGAGAAGTTCTGCTCCTCCCCCCGGACGAGACTCGAGAGAGATGGATGGTCGTGATCAGAGACGAGGATTTGGGAACGATTCTGGCAGAGATGACCGAGGGGACGACAGAGAGTGGAGGTCAGCTGGTGATAGGAGGGGAGATTTTGGTGATCGAGATGGTAGAGGGGGTGGATTTGAAAATAGGGATGGTTACAGAGGTGACTTTGATCGAAATAGAGGCGGTGGATTTGGAGGTGATAGATATGGCGAAAGGGATGGTTATGGAGAGAGGGATGGTGACAGAGATGGGTATCGAAATAGAAGAGGTGGGTTTGGTGGACGTGATGGTTATGATGAAAGAGGGTATGGTGGGAGAGACAGGGGAGGTTTTGGAGATAGAAGGGGTTTTGGCGATAGGGGTTATAATGATCGAGATAGAGGATTCGGTAATAGAGATCGGGGGTTTGGTGACCGGGATCGAGGCTTTGGTGATAGAGATCGAGGATATGGTGATAGAGATCGGGGATATGGTGATAGAGGTAGAGGATATGGTGATAGAGGTAGAGGGTATGGTGACAGGGATAGAGGGTATGGTGACAGGGATAGAGGAGGATATGGTGACCGAGATAGAGGAGGATATGGTGATCGGGATAGAGGAGGATATGGTGACCGAGATAGAGGAGGATATGGCGACAGGGATAGAGGAGGATATGGTGACAGGGATAGAGGAGGATATGGTGACAGGGATAGAGGGTATGGTGATAGGGGAAGATATGGTGAAAGGGATAGAGGGTATGATGATAGAGGGTATAATGATAAAGAACCTGGTGATCGTAGCAGAGATTTCGGGGATATTCGAGAAAGAAATGGCAACGATCGTGGAGAAGATGAACAAGCAAGGGAAACAAAGGATGAAACAAGGTTTGCAATTTTTAACGTACGCTGAAAAGCCGTTATGTTTAGGTAGTATTTTTTACAATCTACACGTTAGAACTTCAGTCAAGTGCTTTTCGTATGTTAGGACAATAATATATTTACGCATTTGAGGCCCATGGCGGGTGGAAGACTTGGATGGTTGAAATATTCCTTAATTTATATTTAAAACTATTGGGAACTGAAACTCTACTTTCTTTAGATCGGATGATAAATATGAAAACGGTGGCGAACAAAGGGAAGAAACCCGACCACGTAAGTGTGACCTCAGGATCACAGGAGGATATATATGAGCAGAAATCCTTTCACCTCTAAACCAGATTTTGCATTTTACTTTCTTAGCAACTGAGCGCCCGCGTTTACAACTCAAACCTCGGTCCGTACCAAAAGAAGATACATCCAGCGACGCGAAAAGTCCGGCATCATCAGCAATATTTGGTGGAGCAAAACCTGTTGATACGGCGACGAGAGAAAAGGAAATCGCTGCTCGGTTGGAAAAAGAAAATTCTGAAAAGGAATCTCGCGAACCTGCCGACGGAAGGGGCGGCGATCGTCGAAGGCTCAAGTCCACAGGAAGCGAAGATGGTGAGAAGAAGTTTGAAAAGGGGTAAGAGATGGATGCAAAGTGGAAACATACTGTTTCATGTTATTCTATCATATATACATCGGGACCAGGGTGTAGTATTCCAAAATTATTGGGTAGACTTTTTTCTTTGTGAGAATATGAGGAGATTTAGTGCCTGTCACTTGTTTTGGCATCTTACTAGCCTCAGAACGGCTAATTTATGATTCATTTTACATGATTTTTAGTCATTCGCCATCTAATTTGAAACGACCAGGAGATCGTGATGACACCGAAGTGGGTCGTGGTGGATCGAGATCAGGTAGAGGGCGAGGGGACCGTGGAGATACGGATGTGGGTCGTGGTGGATCTAGATCTGATAGAGGGCGAGGGGACCGCGGGGATACCGACGTAGGTCGTGGTGCGTCCAGGTCTGATAGAGGACGTGGTCGTGGAAAGGGTCCGGGTCGGGGTGGAAAGCGAGAACCGAAGGTCGTTGAACTGAAGAAGTACGAAGAACCAGAGGTTAAGGTGAGGGACTGTTGAATGGAGATGGCCTTTGGTCAACGGAAGGCTTGCTGGCTTAGACAACGTGTGCAACGTTATTATGCCCTATATAGAGTTAGAGATACCAACGAAGCTACTGTTTTCTTTTCACAGCTTTGTATGCTCGATGCCGGACAGTGGGATGTAGACTACTGCAGTCAACATTGTAATTGGCCGAGATTAAACATGCATGGTCTATTTTATTTTCAGGTCTGGGCAGCGAAGAGCAAGTTCTCTGCACTTCTTGACGCAGACGATGACGATGTTGATTTAGGAAGTGATGAAGAAGAAGACAATGAAGAACGTGATGTTGAAGGAGAAACTGTGCAAGACGACAGCAGAGTGGAAAAAGAACCCGAGGAATTGGCTGAAGATGCGGAAGAAAATGAAAAGCAAAATAGTGAAAATGTGCCTGAGGATAGAAATGAGACGGAGACGCAAGATGCTCAAGATGATTAATGACGATAGCAAGTAAACACTAGAGAGAAAAAGACGCGCAACTGTTAGCAAATCTTCGACATTTTGATCTGAGGACGAAGAGAGCAATCGCTCTTCGCTTCTTTTCAGAATTGTTTTTTGCAGTAGTGCGCACAAACAAACCATAGAGAATTTGATGCGGAAACATTTTTTCCCGACGCCCTTTCTGAGAGTCTGTGCACAGTGTCTACGAAAGGCTGTTTCCGTAAACAATACTTCCACTTTTCAAATAATTTGTTTACGTAATAATATTTTGATGACTGCGGGGAACAATTTTAAGATATATATATTTGAAATTTGTGTACTCTTTCATTTTTCTGCGTAGGGTGGCCCGCGAATGTTGTGGCTTGAACACTTTGAAAAAGCTTGTAAAGCACAGCATTGTATAATATGTATCATATATTCCCCAAAGTGGAATGCCACAAGTAAGTTAACGGCATTGGCAAAGCTCGCTAAAAATCTTTTTACCTCTTCAATATCATTTTGTTGTCAAAAGACTGAACAAAGTGGTATAATATGTTATAAGACTTTTATCAGTTAGTGACATATGCATGCTGTGCGGAGCTAAAAATCTATGTTGAGTAAATATTCCAAGTTGTATGATTTTTTCCACGTCGGTTCACTTGTAGCTCCAGTTGGCTATATAGCTCATCGGCTATATAATATATGTTTGAATTTTTATTTTGTACACAAAAAATTGCTAGATTTTGTACGTTCACCGTCCTTGTTGGCACATGAAGTTAGGATTTTTTTGCAAAACTCGCCTTAAAGGAAAGTGATTTAATATTGATTCTGCTGTGAGATGGCTTTATTTTATTTGCTGTCTACTTATTAACTTCGAGGCATTCTCGATCATCTTGAGTCCACCTTGGTCATAATTTCCCAGGTACATATGCTACATACTGAACGTACATACGTAGTCAACCAATATGATGGGGGAAATAATGCAATAATAGACGGGAATTTTGTAGAATTTCCAGTCTAGTGCTTATATATCTTAGTGCTTACTGATTTCATACTTTATTATGCATCTTAATGACTATAGGTTTATGCTATTGCCAGGTGTTGCAATTTTTATTTTGACAACTATGACAATAATGCAGTGTAGGATGAAATGTAGTGGACAACCACTCAAATAGTTGAAATATCTTTCATTGTATGAAAAAATATAGCACAGTCTATTGACTACCACCAAAGATAGGGATCAGATTTAACATCCCTACATTCTTGTTGTTACTTTGAGCAGGCCTTAAATTGTCATATTAAGGCCTTTTCATGTAGTTCCATGGTGTTTCCGAATGAGTGCTGTTATCCAGTGTGACTTCTCCCCAGTGTGATTTCTCGTCTTTTGCTTTGCTGGATAGAAATGGCATATAATTTAAATCTGATTGAGCTAGTTGAATTGAAAAGACTGGTTATGCTTTATATTCTACATTGAGTAATTGCTAAAGACCCACTGACCTATCCTAGAAGTGTAATCAGTTATAAGAAACCTGCTTCTTGCATCTAACAAAAGACCTTGACCCATTATAATTTACACAGTTTACACATTTTCTAGGAAACCTAATATATTAGTAAAAAGCTGAATTTCTTAACAGATGTTTTTCATCTGATTTTATTTTTTGGTTAGATGTCGTCAACAGAAAAGTTGTCATTGCTTTCGAGTTTTAATTCTGTATCCTTCAGTGTCAATCCAAAGGATTACCACTGTTTGAAACAAATAGGTTGGTATGTATCTCTCTTGAAGAGTCAAGTTAGAGTTTTAATCGAAAGTAATGTATAATGATTACAACAAATATGTCAAATTTGTTAACTGAAGGTAATTATGTTTAAAACTAATTTGTTTTTGGTTAGTAGTTAGGAAACTATGTTGCTGTTCAGAGAAAATGCTTGACCACTGTGTGTTTCTTATCTACTTATTAGCTGGTTCATGAATCTTAAGAATAAGTTGAACATAAGTCCTTTGAAATTTTCAAAATTAGATTTATAAAATAAGTTACCTATAAACTGCTAGATGAAAGAATCTTTTCTATTCAGGTTCTGGTTTTGAAGATTTAACATCAATATGGTTGGCTCGATATAAGGACTCCTCCAAAAATATTGTTATAAAGAAAACCTACCTCGACATTTCTAACAGCGACAAAATTGATTTAATGAGAGTAAGTTTAGAGAGGTAGTATACTATATAATTGATTGCATGATTAAAACCATCAGGAACCAAGATAACATTTTGATTAGAGCTTTTCATCACATATATAAACTACCCTCAAAATGGCATCAACTTACAGGCACAAGCATAGAAACTTATAGACATAGAAATCACTGTGACAGTTTCTTGGCACAAAGCGAAAAATTTAAGACCCTGATCTAAATCATTAGAAACAGCCATTTCATAGGTTTGTATCTCAGAATTTTCTGTATCAGCTGATTGGGGAAACGGTACTCTTTGAAGAAATTTCTAAAAATTCTTCATTTTTTTTTTAAAACATCGTATACTACGCACCTATTTTACTGAGAGTGAAGTGGACACGAGCCTTTTGATGGAGAGTGTTGCCCTCCCCTTCCCCTCGACTGACGCTAATGCGCATAGGTCGTGTGTTATCAATTGTATATCGTGTGTAAAGTGCAAAAGAGCATACGCTTCACCGTGCGTAATGCCTGCCTGCCGAACTTCGCACGACGAACTTTTCACAAACTTTTCAAAGTTACAAATTTTAAGTCTTTCAGATGTTTTTTCTAGTTGAACTGATAAATTTTCCTAGTTTTAGATTCCGTTTATAGGGTCCACATTATCCACATTCCTTTTTGTACTCAGTTTGTGCTTCAAGAACAGTGCGATTTTAATACGGTCCCATAGTAAAACTTGCTATTCCAATTAAGACAATTCATTTAATTGTTGTACGTGTTTGATAATATTCCTTAGCATGAAGTCCACCTGTCGAGGCTTTTGGCTCACCCAAACATCCTCCCGAATCTTGGTGCGTTTGTCTGTGGAAATGAGTTGTGGACGGTGAGTCCTTTCATGCAGTACGGTGAGTATCCTGAATGTTGATAAATTATATAAACAACGTTACTCCGCTATCGTATATTTTCTTAGCTATATCAGCTATACATAGAATGTTTCAAATTGCAATGCTTCATGGAAATTTCTGCCGATGTATTTTAGGATCGTGTGACACGATAATGGCAACTGGATTTCCACAAGGTTTGCCAGAAGCAGCCATTGCACATATACTACGAGATGTTTTAAAAGCTCTTGAAAACATTCACAAGATGGGTTATATTCACCGGTAAATTGACCATTCTTTATATTATACTTTTTTGTGTGTTTTTCTTACCATTTTTCAATATGAAATTTTGGGAGCTCTTTAAAGTGCCTGTTAGTGTTAGCCTACAGGCTATCATCATTTTTCGCCCATTTCCAGTTCAAAGCTGAATATAAGTTCCATGCAAAGCTCCATGCACGTATCTGGATATTTTTAAAAACGAAGCTAGGTTTTTTCTCTGTTTTTTAAAACAAGTACGATCGTACTATAGTGGACTAGGAACTGCGTAACTGAGTGTATTTTCTGAACTGCATTGTATTTATAACAATGGAGAGGACAATGTATTTCTAATCGTTTGTGTTTACTTATATATAGGCTGAATATTAATGATATGTATATATTATTTGCTGCAAAATTACCGTCCACACTAACGCCTGTATTCTAAAAACTCACTCACACTCAAACTCATTGAGTGGGAGATCTTAATCTTCTCATAACGTTTCAATGGCGGTATTTCCAGCCGAACAAGGGCTTGATTTTCAGTGATTTACGTTATATCTTTCCATCTATTCAGAAAAAAACTTTCTCATTGATCAGCATTAACGAAATTTATATGTCACACTCGATGAGTATGAATGTGAGTGAGCTTTTTGAATACAGGCGTAAGTCTTGTCGTTGTATCCCTCTCCTGACTTCTCCCACCTCTTTACTTTGTTCCTTAAAAACGAACAGAATTAAACAACAGCAAACAATTTCTTGGAAAAAATAACCCCTTGGGCTTTAGTTCCCTCTTCCGGGAAGCGAACCGGATGTGATATTTAATAGCACTACACTTGAAACTCTCACGTGTCCGACGAGAAAGGTATTACTCTGTAACGCTATTACTGGGGTAACTTTTGCTAATGTGCTACAAGAATGTCATAAACTAGACCACTCTTGAGAAAACTCACCCCAAAATGAAATTTGACACTCGTCTAATGAATTGTATTACTGGGGTATTATTTGCTAATGTGCTACAAGAATTTCATAAACTACACCACTCTTGAGAAAACTCACTCCAAAATGAAATTTGACCCTCGTCTAATGAATTCTATTACTGGGGTATAACATGGATGGTTAAAAGTGATTTTATTATTATTTTTTATTATGATTTTATTATACATTTTTATAATTAGCACACCATCGGCGCCGGTTCACGGCTCACGGTGAATAAGAACGAAAACAAAAGTTTATATGGGAGACTATGTAGTATACTATTTAGAAAATGCTGTGGTTATATGGAAGTTTATATGGAAGACTATAGCTAGAAAATGCAAAACTTGCATGGTCACTAAAGTCTTGCATCTTAGCGAAAGAAATCCTACTATGGAAACTTCGTTCAGACAAAAAAAAGTCCCCCTGCAGAGTGCAGCCACAAGACAATGCCAATGAATTCTACAAAATATGCGAATACGAAGTTGCTTACGTAATTCATATATTGTTGGCAACTTGGCAGCATAACATGTAGTATGGCATCGATTGACAACTGTACTATTATTCAAATGTTTGTGAATATGGGAGTTTTGCGGTCCTAGACAGGAATATGCCATTTCCGTGGCTTAAAATAGCCCTAAAATTTGCAGGGTGGTTACTGTTCGACATCGCCGTCGAATACGGTCGAAATCGTGCTGCCGAGCAGATACAAGGAGGAGACGTTTTTACCGAAAAAGTAAGAGATGGAATTATCACAGATCTTCGAGAAATCAATACAAAACTTGATGCTTTTTTCTACCGAGAACTAAAAGCGAGCATCAGCTTCATCAAAGATGGATTTATTGCATTGGAAGCGGCCACGGACAAAACGGTGCCAATCGCGGAAGTGACAAATGTTGATGACGAAGGCATTATTCTAGCACTTCGGTTATCAGTCGCTGAAATAAATGTTCGCTCAGAAAGAGACCTGGACGATGCAAAGGGCAGCTTTAAAACATCCCTGGAAATGGCTACTCTGGCATTCAACAACGAAGGATTGAAAATACAAGGTATCATATTAGGATGTAAATTGCGTATCGTCAGCAGAGTCTTTTACCACGTTGATAATCTTTCTTCCGCCGTAAAATATTGTTTGAATTATGTCCAAGAACTCCACGATGTTCCGCGAATAAAGTCGAATTTTGCTGTACATGATGGCGGTGGCTTCAGAGCGAGGTTCATGGACAATACAAGACGTGAAATAGTGAGCAGTGTTAACAAAATTAATTACGTTTTGTTGAATTTCATTTGTGAGTGTTCGCCACATACGAAACTTGGTGTATTCGATTGGCCTATGATAAATCTCGGTTCTCAGCGCTGTTATCATCCTATATGTGAATGTGGAGACGTGTTAGAAAGCTCGAGCGCAAAGGTGCCATGGGAATTGGCTCTTGAAACGGTAAATCGTGATGCTGATATATTGGCAATAAATAGCTTGGGTGAGATAATGAAAGTGGTTGCGGCTAATCGGCAGGAAATAAGGATCACGAGACTTACTGGAGAGAGCGAGGTTTTTTGCAACGTTCCAAGGAATAATGAATCTGCAACTTGGCTCATATGTTCATTAGTCGTCGATAAAGACGACGATACCTACGTGACATGCCAGACTTGGAGATCAGGTCATTACTCATATAAGTTGTTCGTCATTGCCCAGACAGGCGAAGTGAAATGTCGTACTCCGTTAGGATTTCTTGATGGGAGGTGCAATTTTATTCGCACTGCAATAACTAATGAAAAAAAGCTCGTAATTTGTGTGCGTGGTACAAATAATATTTTCATTTGTGACAGCCGTAACGGAAATTTGGAGAGTCATTTTTCTATCCCCCCTCTCACGTTTGTGCTGTGGAATGTATCGAAAAACGGTGAACTGATTCTGGCAAATTCAAAGATGAATTCCCTTTATATATATACTGTCGAAAGAAAAAAAAAACTCACCATCAAGTTACCAAAAGATCATCTTGTAAACAGCGCTGCTTTCCACGACCCAACTGGTAATATATATGTTTACACTCGTAAACCTAATGAGGACCCGACATCTTCCTATATTCTGCGTTTTTCGGAGAATGGCGAATTACTACTTTTACATTCGGTGCGCACGTGGTGGAACAATGACTTCTATTACCTTCTGTCTCATCCAAAAGGCGTCATTACCTTATTTAGTCCCCGCAAAGCGATTTATTTACTCCTGCCTTGAATATAAGAAGAAATCGAGTAAAAAATTACGTTCGATCGAAAAATTCCGCTATAGTGAAAATCCGCCTTTAATCTGTAGTTCAAACCGCATCATCATTAGCATATAAATCATTAGTGACAAAATAGTTTCAAGTGCATGTCTATACATGCACAAGTAGTTTAATTCATATATGTATGTATTAACTATTGTATAGTGCTGTAAAAGGTAGCCACATACTGATTGATGAAAATGGTACCGTTCAATTAACTGGACTGCGTGAATCTCACTGTCTCTCTCCAAACGGTTATAATCACTGTCTTGCTTACGACTTCCCCCTTCATGCAGTGGCATCTTTACCTTGGCTGGCACCAGAGGTTCTCGAACAGGTGAGCTTTGAAATGATTGGGCCAGAGACACGAGATTCGAGGGGCAGCAGGAGAAGCTTCCCTCTTCCCTGTCATCCACAAGCCTAAGAGTCTAAAGGTCATGTTACACGGTGCAATTTTTCTTGCCACTTGCAATGCAATTCTACTTTTGAGAGATGTAAATTTGGCAACTAGGAAACGTTTATGTTCATTGCACTCCATGGACGTTTCTTACACTTACATTTTGAATACTATGCACTAATTTACATCTCTTAAAAGTAGAATTGCAATGCAAGTTGCATGAAAAATTGCCCCGTGTAACAGGGCCTTAAAGTAGCAAACAGATTCCTCAAGTACTTCTATGATGTGATACTCACTCAGGAAGTGTTTTGAGAGTCTTCCAGATGCGTGAAAAACGAATCTCTCGTATTCCACCAGCCTCGTTGGATTTTCACACAATAAAAACACTGGATCTTTTCTGTATCTTGCCAAGCTAGGATTTCTTTTTCAATAATTAGTATGTTTACATGCATGACAATTAGTTTTTCAATTCGTAGCATGGGTTGTAACGGCACAAATGAAATGTATATCTTGTAATTTATAGAATATCCTTGGATATGATTATCGCTCTGATATATACAGTGTCGGTATCACAGCTGTTGAACTGGCGTTGGGTGTTGTGCCTTACAAAAATATGAGTGCGACTCAGGTTTGGAAGCATTTTAAATTCAGCAACGTACATTGATAAGTGTACGTGGATAAGCAGGTGCACTAAACTGCTGTAAACAGCACCCACACAATGCATGCTGGATTTGCCTAACAAAGTAGCAGCGTGGCAACATCTACGACTATAAATTCGTATCAAGGATGGTATAACAACTCTCTGCATGAAATGAACTGAAAGACATCGCTATAGACGAATTTTTTTTGGATAGATTCGACCGTAGCGGATTTCTTTCATCGGTCACAATTGAAAAGAAAATCGAGCGAAAAATTTCATTCGATCGAAAAATTTCGCCTAGTGGAAAACCTCCTTTGGACAGTTGTTATATCATGTTAATGACTATATATGCATTAGCAAAACACTTGCATAATCATTTGCACCTATATACAAACATGCCCCTCATGCAGATTCTTTATGTTAAATCAAATTATCCTCTATTACAGAATGTCAATTATTTATAAGTGATTAATCTTTACCAGCCTACCAGAAGATATAGCTATTTATTATATAAGATATAAACAAGCTCATGATTGAACCCGGCGCGGTGTTATTTCTGCTCTAAAAAGCATCTGGTTTTTAAAATCTTCATGTAGGTTCTACTGGCAAAGTTACAAGAAAGTGACATAACATTGCAGTCTTTTTCCGAGACAAGTCTTTCTCCATGTGTCACATCCTCTGGCGTCTCCGACTCTGGTTTTGGAGATGGTATTGCAGTGAGCAGCATCGAACAGCAGGGCCAAGGAAAAGCAAGAAATAAGAAATTCTCTTCTTTCTTTTGCCAGGTAAATTCACAGCTCAGAAGTGATATGACGGCTTATGGCTATGCATATTTAAGAAATAGAAAACATTTTCCGTGTTTCTATACAGTTATAGAAACACGCGTGGGAGTTTGGGAGAACGAGAAATAATCAGTGGGGAAAACGAGCCCGTAGGGCGAGTTTTTCCACGTTATTTCGAGTTCTCCCAAACTCCCACAAGTGTTTCTATAACTGTATAGAAACACAGGAAAAAATGTTTTCTATTTCTTTTATAATATAACTCAATAAAAAGATTTTGTACAAATATTATGATTCGATTCAATTACAAATTCTCATTACATCGCTTCGCTTGTCAAGTTCGGCGGGAAAATTCCCGTGTTTCTATACAGTTATAGAAACACGCTTCTCGACCAATCAGCACGCGCGTACTATAAATGTTATATTATAAAACATAATATATAATACTACTACTACTACTACTACTACTACTACTATTACTACTACAACTATAATACTACATAACATAATATACTTTCCTTTTGTTCGCAGTTTGTCAATACTTGCCTGCAAAAGGAACCAGATCATCGGTACGAAGCATGAATGTTTTCTGAATTCTTTGGTTTTGTGTGACATCATAGATTTCCGCAGTGCCGGATTTTATGGATTTCAGTGCCAGAAGTCTATATAAATATCCAGGCTGGATATCGAGGGACACGAGTAATAGCAGTTATATTTAGTTGTTCACTGTATGCGTTGGGTCTATGCCGTGTAGCAAATATGGGCATTTCGTATCACTTCCACACGTAAGCCGTAAGCATCGAGTCACAATTAAACGTCGCGAAGCATTAATCAATATAATTTGTTATAAATTTGATGCATCACTTATTGACCCTTGCATGTATTCGCTTACCTGTCATGCACGTTTTAAAAGAAGTTTGTTAGGAAAAACACGGGATCAGAAGTAATTTTCTGTCAACATATTGTTTGTCATCATACATTATAATTTTGTATAATTTATACCCAATATATTATGGTAAATTACATATGACTTGCATGGAAACCTGTTTTTTAATTTGTGCCGAACAATTTTCCCCATGAAAGTTCACTTAGCTGCTAGTCGTAATTCCATTAATTTTATTCAAAGACTTTGCTTCTCCTTTTTTCTATATAGGCCTTCGGCTAGTATCCTGCTAAATCACTCCTTTTTTAAACACGTGGGTAACAACACCGTGGTCACATGCAGACACATGTTGTATCATATATATAATCGCAGCTAAATTAGTGCATTTCATTAAAACTAAGCGGAATAACAGTTTTCAACTTTGTGTTTTTATCCCTATTGTTGCACTGTTTAGGCAAAAAAGAAAGTTAAAGAAAGCTTGCCCGATCTTTTGTTACCTGTTCAGCCAACAATCTTCGATGACAGTGGTTAGTGTTATAGAGGCTCTTATCTCACTTATTGCAAATGCATGCGAACTTTGCTTTGATCGCCACCGAGCGTTCATCCAATGAAATCGCGCTTCTGTGGCGATTTTTGTGTTACAGATGTTCAATATTATCATTGTTATTAACATGCCATAATTATCATCTTTTGTATAACTAGGTATTTAGTAAGCTTTTGAAACCAGGTGTACTTACTTTGTTGTTATATCACCATTTTCTTATTTTTGTTTCAGAGATTAAGAATATTACAGTGGTAGAGTCTGTGGCAGACACTTTGGATGATTTGACAATTGAGACTTGGGACTTCTAAATGTTACTTAACAATCGCTCCCCGTATACTTGAGTATACAAATACTGCCAGCATGACTGCTAGACAGGGCATTTTACTTCATACGAGCAATGAAGTTGTAAATAATTATCATCTAGAACTATCTATATTCACAAAGTGCGTGTATATTACGCTTGAGGTCTCAGGTCCTATACTTAACCTAATTGAGTTTATCAACACTCCAGGGTGTGCATCTGGAAACTGCGAGGTTATGTGCATGCCATGTGTGTGTGGTGAGGAATGGAGCGCTCTGACTAGTGCGAGTATATTACGGTTGAGGTCTTAGGTCGTATACCTAACCTAATGGACCACTCAGGCCGGTTGTTCGAAAGGTGTTTAGCTTGAACGGGGGATCAGTTCCAAATAAAAAACTAAACTAAGGCTTTCTATTTAATTAAGAACAAAGCTGAATATATTGATGAAATTAGCTTTCAATGGAAAGATATTTATGGTGCATAAGATGTAGGTTCATTTCAGTCCGTTACACGATATATGATCTTTGGCTTATCCACCATTTCAGCTAAATGTCTTTCCAATAATTGGCCCCAGGGTGTCTATCGGGGAACAACGTACAGAGTTTGTACCTTTGTGGGCTTGCCGCGCGTGTGTGGTGAGGAATGAAGGGCCCTGACTAGTGCGTGTATATTACGTTTGAGGTCTTAGGTACTATACCTAACCTTATGGAGTTTATCAACACTCCAGGGTGTGCATCTGGAAACTACAGGGTTTATGTGCATGCCATGTGTGTTTCGTGAGGAATGCAGGGCTCTGACTAGTGCGAGTATATTACGCTTGAGGTCTTAGGTCCTATGCTTAACCTAATGGAGTTTATCAACACTCCAGGGTGTGCATCTGGAAACTACAGGGTTTATGTGCATGCCATGTGTGTTTGGTGAGGAATGGAGGGCTCTGACTAGTGCGAGTATATTACGCTTGAGGTCTTAGGTCCTATACTTAACCTAATGGAGTTTATCAACACTCCAGGGTGTGCATCTGGAAACTACAGGGTTTATGTGCATGCTATGTGTGTTTGGTGAGGAATGCAGGGCTCTGACTAGTGCGAGTATATTACGCTTGAGGTCTTAGGTCCTGCTTACCTAATGGAGTTTATCAACACTCCAGGGTGTGCATCTGGAAACTACAGGTTTATGTGCATGCATGTGTGTTTGGTGAGGAATGCAGGGCTCTGACTAGTGCGAGTATATTACGCTTGAGGCCTTAGGTCCTGTACTTAACCTAATGGAGTTTATCAACACTCCAGGGTGTGCATATTGATACTACAAGGTTTTTGTGCATGTCATGTGTGTGTATCTGGTGAGGAATGAAGGCCTCTGACTAGTGCGAGTATATTACGTTTGAGGCCTTAGGTCCTGTACTTAACCTAGTGGAGTTTATCAACACTCCAGGCTGTGCATCTGGAAACTACAAGGTTTATGTGCATGCCATGTGTGTTTGGTGAGGAATGCAGGGCTCTGACTAGTGCGAGTATATTACGCTTGAGGCCTTAGGTCCTGTACTTAACCTAATGGAGTTTATCAACACTCCAGGGTGTGCATCTGGAAACTACAGGGTTTATGTGCATGCCATGTGTGTTTGGTGAGGAATGCAGGGCTCTGACTAGTGCGAGTATATTACGCTTGAGGCCTTAGGTCCTGTACTTAACCTAATGGAGTTTATCAACACTCCAGGGTGTGCATCTGGAAACTACGGGTTTATGTGCATGCCATGTGTGTTTGGTGAGGAATGCAGGGCTCTGACTAGTGCGAGTATATTACGCTTGAGGCCTTAGGTCCTGTACTTAACCTAATGGAGTTTATCAACACTCCAGGGTGTGCATCTGGAAACTACAAGGTTTATGTGCATGCCATGTGTGTTTGGTGAGGAATGCAGGGCTCTGACTAGTGCGAGTATATTACGCTTGAGGCCTTAGGTCCTGTACTTAACCTAATGGAGTTTATCAACACTCCAGGGTGTGCATCTGGAAACTACAAGGTTTATGTGCATGCCATGTGTGTTTGGTGAGGAATGCAGGGCTCTGACTAGTGCGAGTATATTACGCTTGAGGCCTTAGGTCCTGCTTAACCTAATGGAGTTTATCAACACTCCAGGGTGTGCATCTGGAAACTACAGGTTTATGTGCATGCCATGTGTGTTTGGTGAGGAATGCAGGGCTCTGACTAGTGCGAGTATATTACGCTTGAGGCCTTAGGTCCTGTACTTAACCTAATGGAGTTTATCAACACTCCAGGGTGTGCATCTGGAAACTACAAGGTTTATGTGCATGCCATGTGTGTTTATGGTGAGGAATGCAGGGCTCTGACTAGTGCGAGTATATTACGCTTGAGGCCTTAGGTCCTGTACTTAACCTAATGGAGTTTATCAACACTCCAGGGTGTGCATCTGGACTACAAGGTTTATGTGCATCATGTGTGTGTTTGGTGAGGAATGCAGGGCTCTGACTAGTCGAGTATATTACGCTTGAGGCCTTAGGTCCTGTACTTAACCTAATGGAGTTTATCAACACTCCAGGGTGTGCATCTGGAAACTACAAGGTTTATGTGCATGCCATGTGTGTTTGGTGAGGAATGCAGGGCTCTGACTAGTGCGAGTATATTACGCTTGAGGCCTTAGGTCCTGTACTTAACCTAATGGAGTTTATCAACACTCCAGGGTGTGCATCTGGAAACTACAGGGTTTATGTGCATGCCATGTGTGTTTGGTGAGGAATGCAGGGCTCTGACTAGTGCGAGTATATTACGCTTGAGGCCTTAGGTCCTGTACTTAACCTAATGGAGTTTATCAACACTCCAGGGTGTGCATCTGGAAACTACAAGGTTTATGTGCATGCCATGTGTGTTTGGTGAGGAATGCAGGGCTCTGACTAGTGCGAGTATATTACGCTTGAGGTCTTAGGTCCTATGCTTAGCCTAATGGAGTTTATCAACACTCCAGGGTGTGCATCTGGAAACTACAAGGTTTATGTGCATGCCATGTGTGTTTGGTGAGGAATGCAGGGCTCTGACTAGTGCGAGTATATTACGCTTGAGGCCTTAGGTCCTGTACTTAACCTAATGGAGTTTATCAACACTCCAGGGTGTGCATCTGGAAACTACAAGGTTTATGTGCATGCCATGTGTGTTTGGTGAGGAATGCAGGGCTCTGACTAGTGCGAGTATATTACGCTTGAGGCCTTAGGTCCTGTACTTAACCTAATGGAGTTTATCAACACTCCAGGGTGTGCATCTGGAAACTACAAGGTTTATGTGCATGCCATGTGTGTTTGGTGAGGAATGCAGGGCTCTGACTAGTGCGAGTATATTACGCTTGAGGTCTTAGGTCCTATGCTTAGCCTAATGGAGTTTATCAACACTCCAGGGTGTGCATCTGGAAACTACAGGGTTTATGTGCATGCCATGTGTGTTTGGTGAGGAATGCAGGGCTCTGACTAGTGCGAGTATATTACGCTTGAGGCCTTAGGTCCTGTACTTAACCTAATGGAGTTTATCAACACTCCAGGGTGTTCATCTGGAAACTACAAGGTTTATGTGCATGCCATGTGTGTTTATTGAGGAATGCAGGGCTCTGACTAGTGCGAGTATATTACGCTTGAGGCCTTAGGTCCTGTACTTAACCTAATGGAGTTTATCAACACTCCAGGGTGTGCATCTGGAAACTACAAGGTTTATGTGCATGCCATGTGTGTTTGGTGAGGAATGCAGGGCTCTGACTAGTGCGAGTATATTACGCTTGAGGCCTTAGGTCCTGTACTTAACCTAATGGAGTTTATCAACACTCCAGGGTGTGCATCTGGAAACTACAGGTTTATGTGCATGCCATGTGTGTTGGTGAGGAATGCAGGGCTCTGACTAGTGCGAGTATATTACGCTTGAGGCCTTAGGTCCTGTACTTAACCTAATGGAGTTTATCAACACTCCAGGGTGTGCATCTGGAAACTACAGGGTTTATGTGCATGCCATGTGTGTTTGGTGAGGAATGCAGGGCTCTGACTAGTGCGAGTATATTACGCTTGAGGCCTTAGGTCCTGTACTTAACCTAATGGAGTTTATCAACACTCCAGGGTGTGCATCTGGAAACTACAAGGTTTATGTGCATGCCATGTGTGTTTGGTGAGGAATGCAGGGCTCTGACTAGTGCGAGTATATTACGCTTGAGGCCTTAGGTCCTGTACTTAACCTAATGGAGTTTATCAACACTCCAGGGTGTGCATCTGGAAACTACAAGGTTTATGTGCATGCCATGTGTGTTTGGTGAGGAATGCAGGGCTCTGACTAGTGCGAGTATATTACGCTTGAGGCCTTAGGTCCTGTACTTAACCTAATGGAGTTTATCAACACTCCAGGGTGTGCATCTGAAACTACAAGGTTTATGTGCATGCCATGTGTGTGTTTGGTGAGGAATGCAGGGCTCTGACTAGTGCGAGTATATTACGCTTGAGGCCTTAGGTCCTGTACTTAACCTAATGGAGTTTATCAACACTCCAGGGTGTGCATCTGGAAACTACAGGTTTATGTGCATGCCATGTGTGTTTGGTGAGGAATGCAGGGCTCTGACTAGTGCGAGTATATTACGCTTGAGGCCTTAGGTCCTGTACTTAACCTAATGGAGTTTATCAACACTCCAGGGTGTGCATCTGGAAACTACAGGTTTATGTGCATGCCATGTGTGTTTGGTGAGGAATGCAGGGCTCTGACTAGTGCGAGTATATTACGCTTGAGGCCTTAGGTCCTGTACTTAACCTAATGGAGTTTATCAACACTCCAGGGTGTGCATCTGGAAACTACAGGGTTTATGTGCATGCCATGTGTGTTTGGTGAGGAATGCAGGGCTCTGACTAGTGCGAGTATATTACGCTTGAGGCCTTAGGTCCTGTACTTAACCTAATGGAGTTTATCAACACTCCAGGGTGTGCATCTGGAAACTACAGGTTTATGTGCATGCCATGTGTGTTTGGTGAGGAATGCAGGGCTCTGACTAGTGCGAGTATATTACGCTTGAGGCCTTAGGTCCTGTACTTAACCTAGTGGAGTTTATCAACACTCCAGGGTGTGCATCTGGAAACTACAGGGTTTATGTGCATGCCATGTGTGTTTGGTGAGGAATGCAGGGCTCTGACTAGTGCGAGTATATTACGCTTGAGGCCTTAGGTCCTGCTTAACCTAATGGAGTTTATCAACACTCCAGGGTGTGCATCTGGAAACTACAGGTTTATGTGCATGCCATGTGTGTTTGGTGAGGAATGCAGGGCTCTGACTAGTGCGAGTATATTACGCTTGAGGCCTTAGGTCCTGTACTTAACCTAATGGAGTTTATCAACACTCCAGGGTGTGCATCTGGAAACTACA